CAGCACAACACATGATGGGTCTGCCTTTAGCAGCTCACGACGCTGTCGAGGTGCTGCCCCGGTGCACCACTACAGATGCCCATTCACAATATACTACTGAAAACCAGAGTGCTTTACTAGGCATCTTGGAATTCTCTAACAAGAGATGTGCCCATGCATCCACTCACAACTGCCCTTTTCTGGCCGACTCCAATTCGACCCTCTGCACAGCGTGCGCTGTTGCACAATCCAGAGGGCAGCCCTGTGCCTAGGACTTCAATCGTGTTGAAAGTCAAATGCCGCACGGCAGGACTTGTCAAGTTGTCAAAAATGTGCGCTTTTTCATGACTACGCATGTCAACTCCCAAGGGTCTGAAGGAGGTGGAAGAGAGCCCGGTCAGCATCAACAGGTGACGAGGCAAATGTGTGCATGAGACACTACGCTATAGGCAAGGCGTGGAATGACGTTCTTTTGTGTATCATACGGGCTCAACTCAAAGGCATGGCGGGTTGTACAGGCGAGAAGATTGCTACACGATAAGGCAAACACATGTTCGCTCGGTGGAACTAGATGTGTCTCGTCATAAGCCTGCAATTCGTCACGTCGACTTTGAGCACTGGCATAGGCAAGGGAAGCGACGAGAGCAAGGGGGCTTCGAAGCAAAGGGATAAAGCACGTGTATCAACAGAAGACTTATCTCTGTTCTCATTTATTCAAGACTTGACCGGTCTTTGAATGCTCCGGAGTCATTTCGACGGACAATTGTACCATTAGTGGCTTTAAACGATGTATGGAATGGATTTTGAGCGTCATCTGCAGGGAATTGAAGCGAATGGTTTTATAGAGCGAATATAGATGACATGTCAGTATTTGGAATTAGTTCAATAAGCTTTGTTGTTACATTGGTTTTCAAGGGACTTCGTTTTGCTTGTTAGACAGGGGTGCAACCCCTGTTCATGTATAGCGAAACGGGTTTGCAAATCTTCCAACGGTCCCAGGTTTTGCCTGCATGACTCGAACATCATCGGCACCCAACTGCGCAAGAGTACCGATTGCGACCAGTCACGATGGCTTCCTCCCGCTGGGGCCCGAGGTGGAGTGGAGGCATTGATGTGACGGCCATGTAGTATGAGAGCCGGGGGGCACCACATGCTCGCTGCGTTTGGGAATGATGGAATAATGTTGGTCAAGTTGTCATCTGCTATGATGCTCAAGTTTGCAAGTTGGCTAATAAATCAGGCGGGCTGGCACGGAATTCACGGAAGTAGGCCACAACGGGCAAGGGCCAGACGAGCTGTTCAGGTCCCGGCCGAGAGGGCCAAAAATAAAAAGCCAAGACTACATTACCTGATGCGTCAACTGGAGTCTAATTGTGAACATCAACGTGCCGAAAAAAAAAATCCCCTCAGAGGGGCGGACAGGCCATACAGCCGGACTGACACAACCCTTGACCAGCAGAGGCAACGTCGCACACACATGACAATCTAGATGAGCGAGCGATTGCGGGCAAGTCCTCTTGTTACGTATCTGTTTTCGTTCCATTCTTGCCTTGCCCCTCCTCGTTTCTTTAAACAGGAAATACCAACTCCACGCTTATTGTAGATGCGTTGGCTAAACGTTCTTCCAGCGGGGATAGGAAGAGGTTCCCGTTTGGCAGTACAAATACGCCAATAGCATGTAAGTGGTTGGCTGTGACAAAGACACGTCAAAGAGAGAGGGGGAAACAGGGCAACACAAAAAAAGGGAAAACGAAAAGATTTCATCAACAGTCAAGGCGGGGTGAATGGGACGGGATGGGCAGCAAATGAAACGTGAACAAGAGTACACGAGTAATGGCAGTTGGTCGTTGCAATCATCGTACCACAAGGTACCTAGGGTGTCCTTTTTGATACTATCCGTGCAGATCTAGTTTCAGCCCTGAGCTGCCGTTCGTGAGAGGACGAAAGGGCTGTGGCGGCTGGGTCGAACAGGGTTTTCGATTTAGAGTTGGGCCTTGCATCTTTGCTTCAACCCTAAAGCAGAAGGCACCGTGGGCATCTTCGGGTGGCGTCCTTGGCTTCTTTTTTTCCTTCTTCCGTGGAAGAGATTTCGCAACCAGGGATCAACGACGATGATCAGAGGATGGGGCCGAGGTAGCTGTTAAGCGAAGAGCGTCTGGCGGCTTTGAACTTTGCGCGGGGTGACTTGAGTTTCCGCCTCTGGGACTATTCCCTTTTTATTAGCGCGCGCCGAGGCTTGTCTTTGCTGGCCTCGTTTTTCGGCTTGGCAAGCTCGGTGTAAGTCGAGGGAACTTGTTGACGGATACACTTACTGTAAGTGGCTCGTACGGTCATTTTCCAGACGTCAACTGTGGAGTGACTTATTATCCGAGAGGCATATAAAGAATATCGCTGTACGTAGCCATCTATAACACAAACCGGTCCAGAGTTTTAAGAGGTTGAATAGCCGTCTGTATTGCCGTACCGGCTATGCAGCCCAATAAATAGGAAGGCGCTAATCTCTCCCCACAAGCGGCGAAAAAGAAGCCAAGTTGCAGGGGCCGGGTATTTCGGAGCCTAGGGATAGCTCTTCATTAGTTACAATAGTACGGAGTATACCTTGGGTAGTTATTAGTCAAGGGACCAACAAAGCTTCGACAACTACGGTTTAGAATCCAACTAGTCTTCAAATTGCCCTTGGTCCGGGCCGCCATAGACGGAGTCCTTGCTCCTAGAATCTCCAACAATATACCTCGGCATCGCAAGGGGGCAGGGATTAACGAATTCACAGCCAGCAGACGGTTTGTGCTTCTTCTAGCTCGCATCGCACAGCCGCGCCAGCGGCTGTTGTCAGTCAAGGCACGGCAGAGACGGGACGAAACAGGAAAGAGACAAAGCGATGATGGGGCGCAAACCTTGCACAGCTGACTCCGCGCGGCATTGGAGGCCCATGTGTGTGCCCGGACCCGTTGCGTTTCCTAGAGTTTGAGAATATCCGGGTAAGATCGATGAGTGCAGGACATGCAGGATCGTGCAACACGGGAGGATCACCGACTAGATCAGCCGAGAAGGGGTGTCCCCCTAGTCATCCAATAGAGAAAAAAGAGTAACCGGAAAAGAGTAAACCCAAAGGTGGCATTTTATTTCGTAAAGACAACGCACGTGGAATTCATCAGCGTTGTCGATCTTGTAGTCTTTTGAGTTGTATATTGGTATGCTAGTACATACACCCCTCGCAAAAAGTCACCTATTTCGCAAACACTAGTCTGCCACAAACGTAAGATTCTGTTCGAATAGGAATATTAATTCTCAACAATTGTCTTTCCGACGGGTCTGCCCGTTGTCCCTTTGTACCTTTTTCCATACCTGGTAAATAGCATGTGTTGTTGAGATGGAGCAGGGGCACACCCTTGACTTTCCCAATCGGACTCGCCGCGGCACTGTCTCACTTTTTATTGCATGAGCACCCGAAAGTGTGCGATCCTCGTAACTATGCTCCCATCTGACATCTGACGAGAACTTGAGAAGGTCTCAGTTGGGGCGCAGGGGAAAGCAAGGAATTGGGGGGCGTGTTGGATCTGATCATCAGATAACTAGTTAGCCAGACTCGTGCAAGCCACGGTTATTCGTCGTAAACTAGTAAAGAGAACCAAGTATTCCGTAGTTAAATAATACAGCTAAATTAGACCCCAGCCTAGTGTAGAAACTGGAACCAGCAGCCGTTGGCCGCCGTCTCGCCCCGCGCGCTGTTGGTCAACATTGGAAGAAGAAAAATGGAAGATGTGCCACAGACAGGAACAGAAACGCCCGAGGTTCAAAGAGCCAGCCGCCTCGTGTCGTCGCGTCACGCTCTATAGCTCTCGGGAGGCCATCAACAATCGAACCGAGATGGGATGAATCGCCAAGCAACAGCGCCAGTGCCCATGTAGTCGGTGGGCGCTCAAAGACGAATAAATTGGCATGTGAATTGCAACACTGCTAGTCTGTACTAACATTTACTAGTTATACTACTTTACTAGTTAATTGGAGTCGTCGCCAATTGTAAAGTCGCATGGCCAACCCTGGTCGAAATGTCTACAAGACCAAGAAGCAGACTGTTGAGGGGGATGCCGCTCTGACGTCGTCGAGCAAATTAGATATGTCCGTGCTCGTGTATTCGTGTTGACACCTCTTGAGCTTCTTGGCTTGGCCTGGAGACATGGCGAGAACCCGACTAAAAACGAATAAGAGGCTGTGGTGGTGATGATGCTTTTTCACTGCGCCTTTTGAATACGCCCCAGACTTTGTCCACATCGAAGCCACCCCCACGTTCCGTGGAAAAAGAGAAAGGGCTCAAGCCGTTTAATCCATACATATCGATCCGCACAGGACGGGAGGGTGGGCGGAATCGGCGCCGGCCAGCGGCAGCTCGCGCGGGGCCATCTATGACGGGCGGCCATCCCTCCGGCATCGGTCTCTGCCATTCAGCTTGACACCCGTCTGAATTGCCTTGCAAGTCGTTCGATTTCTCTCTTCGTTTTAATTAGTCAATGCTTCTCTTCTTTCGGCAAGAGGTCCTGTTGAACGAGAGATCGGAAAAAGTGGCAAGCGAGCGTTGACCCCGGCACAAGGAAGCAAGTGAGGCCCTCGGGTTCAGACTACTCCGTGCTGCTTATCCAGCCGCATCGGCAGTTGGCAACGTACATGCGGGCAGGCAATGAGCTGCCAAGAAGGAATGTACTGATACGAGATGGTCAGTCTTGGCTCCCGTGCGACATGAGAGGCATGCGACGGGGGTTTGGCAGCTCCCCCGAATGAGGCTACTAATCAACATTGACGGCAGACAGTCTCACGCAATGCAATCATGTATAGTAAATCGTATTTCATATATTCAAGTTTCCATCCCGACGAAAGTGGTATCAAATGTTCAAGTATAAAATCCAGGGCATCTCCGCCTGCGCAGAGGCACCTGAAGCATCATGTCCTGTCTAGTAACAGCCATAGAAGAAGAGTAGGAAATCACACCGGTTTCGCCCTATCATAAAAGAGTGTATGAACAAAAAATGGCCTTCAAACAGCCTTTCCCCGTAGAATTGTGTATACATGGTATAAACGAGAGTGGTGCCTACACCTCGTGCCTGGGTCAAGCGTCAGAGGGTAGACATGTTGGGCGCGCGCTGTTTTGGCGTTGCCGGCATTTAGAGGGCCAGAGCGACGAGAGCAGCAGCGGCAATGGCCATGGCGCCGGACTGGAGGCGGAGAGCACCAGCGGTAGGGATCACAGGGACGCCGGTGGTGATCGTGGGCACGACACCGGTCGGGTGGACAGCGGTGGCGTTGCCGGCGGGCTTGGTGGCGGACGAGACGACACTAGACGCGGAAGAGACGGTGGTGACGGCAGCGCTGGTGGTGGTGCTGGTGATGGTGCTGCTACGCAGAGGGCAGTCGGTGAAGGTGGAATGGCACTGGGTGACGGTGACGACCTGCTTGGTGGTCGAGGTGACGAACTGAGTCGTGGTCGAGTCCTGCGCGACGGCGAGGGCGGCAAAGAGAGCGACGGGAGTAGCGAAGCGCATTGTGACGGTTTGGTAGTGAGTTCTTGTTGGAAAGCGACGGGGAACAAGTTTGCTAGCGCGGCGATCTGATGATCTTGGGTAACGAATGTAGTAGCGTTTGGTTGGTTGAATGGAGGAAGATAAAGACTGTGAGGACGGGGGATAGGTTGTTGAAAGAAGGAAAGAAAAAGATGGCACGTCGCGAGGGGGGAATCGGCAGCTGAAAAAGGAATGGAATAGGCTGCAGAATCGAATGCCAGAAAAACCGTTTGCGAAAACTTCTCATCCGATGCGCGATTTCAATAAACGAGAGTCAGTCAGGTACCCGGAGTCAGCCGTGACAGCGCACTGTGCATTACTGGTGGCACATGGTTTACGGGCCAGGCACAAACACACCTAAAAACAGACGAAAATCCACACACACAGCAGGGCCTTTAATAATTATCCAGTCAGAGCGGCGGTAAAAACGGTCCCATCTGCGCCATCGAGACAAGAGAGGAGGGCCGCTGCATCTGCGTCTTGGCCTCTTGGTGACAACTGACAAGAGGGCCTGGACCGTGGAAATGGCCAGAGCAGAGGTTGATGATTGGACGCGTGTTGGGCTCTTTGAACCCTAATACCTACCAGGTGTGGCTAGCCAGGCACCAAGAAAAAAGTACTAATGTTTGGTTTTTTACTCCATAATACCGGTTGTACCTGTGGCTGTGGCAAAGGTGGCGCGGCTTTTACCGACTTTGGTCCAGGAACTAGGTACCTTAGTACCCAGGTAGGTAGTAATGCTGGCTGGGATGTTGAAGGACGGAGAGAAGCCCAGCATAATGGTGCAGAAACAAGCCAGAAATTATATAAAACTCGATAAAGCCACTCTGAAAGAAACGAAGCGAAATAAAAAATGTAAAACCCTAATCAAATACGTGCGCTCGAAGCTCGTCTTCTAGACCCAACAGCAGAGTTTGACACTTCTCAGTGACCAGAGACCAGCAAGAGCGTGGCGCTCGCACTGTGCCCACCCCAATCTTCCGCACAGTGTACTCCCCCGCTACATCTACCAATGCGCAACAGCGCAAGTACCGTCTTCAGGTTCTTTGCGAGTCAGAAAACATCTCCCCATCATTCACAAGCCTACTACTATATCCTCGGGTCAGAATGTGACGGGCCGCGTTACGAATCATTGTGCAAATTCTGTATCCCGAATTTCTTGTTATCGGAATCAGTCCGTCCCATCGTGGCCTGATTGCTTGTCCAAGTCAAGTAGATGGAGCTGCTGATGCGGCTTACTCGGCGTCCCTACTAGGTAGTTGTACGTCGCACCCCAGGATCTCACCGTGCATCACTACACTCGGCAAGACTAGAATTTCTACTCCGATTATGAATCAGCAACTCGGTCTGAACTGCCTTCCAGTGCACCATGACGTTATCCCATGTCGCTCCAAGTCCCTGCCAGTTGAAACGAGGGAGGGGCCTAGCCTCCTCAACCCCACCCCCGCAGCTTGGGCGCCAAAGCACCCCTTTCAATCCATCAAGCTCTTGACTTCCAAGCTGTGCAAGTCATCATTTCCGGCTCACGCAAAGTACGAAACATATTCTGCCCTGTTCTGCCGATAGTGCCATTGTTGATCACTGGACCTACCGCCGAACGCGCCCCCTAACTAGCCAACCGATCCGATCGAGCTAGCGCCACCGCCGTCGCCCACCATGTCAACGGTTTCCTTCGAAGAAGACCCGGCTCTTTATATATTTACGTCTCTGACGGCTGGCTCCTCGCACATAGTCACGGCCACGTCGCGTCTAGAGACCATACTGCGCGCCAATCGAGTACCCTTCAAAGCCGTAGACATGGCCACAGACGAAAGGGCCAAGCGGCTATGGGCGCGCAGGGCAGGCAAGGCTGAGGGCGGTCGTGTAAGGAAACTGCCCGGCCTCTTTCAAGAGGGCTTCATAGTAGGGGTATGTCTTGAGAATAGGATGTCAGGGGACCTGTGCAAGCTTCCAACGGAGCCCTAGTGCTGCCCATGTACCGCGCTGTGCTAACAGGAGCTATCTTCAGGATCTTGTCGAAGTTGAGGATTGGAACGAGTATGGCGAACTGAAGCAGCATGTCAAAATCTACTACGACGAGCATACGATACCCAACATTCACAATAAACATCCTGCACCGAAGCTGAAACGTACCGTCAAGAAAACAACGGGCACAACAAAGGTCGCCACGGCCATCTCTGGTGTCACTGCTGCCGGCGCGGCTGCTGCTGCGGCATCTGCGAAACCATCCGGCGAGAAGGCCGGCAGTTCTGGAGAGACAAAGGAGCTACCAGTCCGTTCACTCGCCAATGAAGCGGCGGCCAAGGCCAAGGAACTCAAGTCTAAGAGCCTGAAGGAAAAGGCACTTGGCGCAGAAAAGCCGAATGGGGTGGATGAGAAAAATACAAGTGCCGATGCCAAGATCAGCAGCAAGGGCGAGTCCGCAAATGGGGCGAGCGAAAATGATACTAAGGATACTAAGGATACCACAGATGTCAAGAAAGACAGCAAGAGCATCGACCTAGACAAGGCTATTGACGGAGTTGTAGAAGAGACCAAGGCAGACGGGTCTGCAAAGAATGTTGTCGATGATAAAAAGATTACCACGCCCAAGTCACCCGCGAAAGCGAAAGCCGACGACGACGACAGCGATGAAGAAGATGATGCACAGAAAGAGCCCGAGCCTAAATCCGGGTCAAAGGCTCCGGTGGCTGCTGCAGCTGCAGCCACCATCGCTGCAGTATCCTCTGCCGCCGCTGCGGCTGTCGCTGCCGTCACACCATCATCCAAGGCGGCCAAGGACGGCACGCGACCAAAGACGCCCCCCAAGACAACCAGCACCGGGTCGCGCGCTGCCCAATCCAAGGTCGTGGGCGCCAGCCTGCAGTCTCCCACGAGCACGACATGGAAGAGCGCCGGCCGCGAGTCCCTGGCCGCGTCGGTGCAGAGCCCCACTAGCGGCAAGTGGCGGCAGGTGGTTGCCGAAGAAGACGACGACTCAGATGAGGAGGAGGATAGCGATGAGGAAGAGAGCGATGAGGAAAAGCCTCAGGCTCCTATTAAGAAGGTCGCGCCGCCGCCGGCTAAGGGTGGGGTGAACGTCAAGGAGGACGACAGCGACGACGACAGCGACGACGACGACGAAGAGGAAGAGGAAGAGGAAGTGAAGAAGCCAGCAGGGGCAAAGGTTGCACCCGCAAAACCTGCAGAGGTAACAAAGGCAATAGCAGCCACCAAGCCAGCAGATAATGACGAAGACTCTGACGAGGATGAAGAGGAGGACTCTGACGACGAGCAGGTGGTAAAGAAGTAGAGGTGGAAGGACTTGTCATTTAAACGAACACAATACACCATAGCCGAGCAATTATGCATTTCAACCCCAAATTACATGATTATTTCAGAGAGCCGACCGAGTTTACATGGTTTGAAAAAAATACCATTTTGTTAAAAGTACATTGTACACCACACTCTTGCCTTATTCAACTCCCAGGTACATATCCAACAAATTCATATTCATCCTCATGCAAACACCGTCTTCCTTGCATCTCGTTTAATACAAGTCCTCATCATCACTCGCCGTCCCATCCTGAAACCCCGCGACCGCTTTGCCCTTGCCCTTGTTTCCTCTCCCATTCACCACCACGCCATCCTCTCCCAGCGGCGCTTTCCCCTTGCCCTTGAGCGACCCGGCCGTGCCCGGCCGACTGCTCCTCGCCGACACCGGTCTCTGCTGCTGCTGCTGCTTTTTTTCTTCCGGGGCTCCGCCTTCAAACATGGCGCGCACCTTTTCATAGTGTGCCAGCTCGCCGGCCGACACGCTGGGGATGAGCTCGTCGTGGGCGTCGAGAAAGTCGCGCTCGGTGACGGTGACGGCGAGGTCGTCGGGAGTGGCAAAGTGGTCGAAGAAGGCGGCGGTCGAGAGCGGGGGCTTGTTGGCGCGATGGCGGGCCGGGTCGGCGTTGAGGGCGCGCACGCGGGCGTCGACGGCCGTGGCCTGCCGCGTGACGGCCTTGAGCATGGCGTCGGTGCAGAGGGCGTAAAAGTCGGCGCCGGTGTAGGTGAACGGGAGCTGCTGCGCGACAGTGGCGAGCGAGACGGAGGGGTGGAGGGTGAATCTGGCAAAGAAAAAAGCAGGTTAGTATAAGACGGGGGCTTGGAGGTTGCACGGGAAAGTATTGAGGGAGGAGAGACGTACTTTCTGGTGAGGGCCTCAAGAATGGTGCGCTGCTTGTCATGCGTGTCAGACACGCCGAGGTACAGCATCTTATCAAAGCGACCAGGGCGCAGGAGCGCCTGGTCGAGCAGATCCGGCCTGTTGGTGGCGCCAATGACAAAGACACCACCCGTGTCGTCGCCGCCCGACATGCCGTCCAGCTCCGCGAGCAGCTGCGAGACGATGCGGTCCATGACACCGCCGCTGTCGCCCTGGTTCCCGCGCTTGGGCGCGACCGAGTCGAGCTCGTCAAAGAAGACGACGCACGGGCGTGCATCGCGCGCGCGTTGAAACACGCGCCGCACGTTGGCTTCCGACTCGCCAATGTACATGTTGAGCAGCTCCGGGCCCTTGACGGAGAAGAAGTTGAGGCTGTACTCGGTCGCAATGGCCTTGGCCAGCAGCGTCTTGCCAGTGCCGGGCGGGCCGTAGAACAAAATGCCGGAGCGCTTCTTCATGCCGCGCGCAAAGAGCTCCGGTCGCTCCAGGGGCAGCTGGATCGTCTCGGTGATGGCGTCCTTGACGTGGCTCAGGCCGCCAACGTCGTCCCACGTCACGTTGGGGATCTTGGGCGCGCCAATGGCGTCGGAAAAGTTTTTGCGCGCCGCGTCCACGGCCACGTCAAAGTCGGCGCCCGTCAGGGACCGGGCGAGCGGGCCCCCGGCGACTTGCACGTCGCGGACCGTCATGGGCAGCCGCGAGGTCGTCGTCGTTTGGGCCGCGAGGGCTTCGAGGCGCGCGCGCTGGGCGAGGGCCGCGCGCTCCACCACGTCGACGAGGTCGCCGGCGACGAGGGCCGCCGTCTTGAGCGCAATCGAGTTAAGTTCTATGCTGGGGTCCAGCGTGATGCCGCGGTCGCCAATGACGCCACGCAGGATCGCCTCGCGCTCCGCCTCATCCGGCGCGCCCATGTCGAGCTCGTGCGTAAAGAGTGCCCGCACGCCGTCGGGCACATCGTCGACATTGTTAGTAGTGGCCACGAGAACGCGCGTGTCGGCGAGGATGTCCTTGATCGTGGCCTCGATGCGGTCGGCCGTGAGCGCGTCAATGTGGCGGATCAGCAGGGCACAGCAGTCGGCGCCGCAGCTCGCGGCGCGCTCGGCGCGCGTGCGTAGGAAACCTTCCGTCTTGACGTCGCTGCCGCTACCGCTCCCCTCGTTGAGGATGTCGTAGGCGTCAATCTCATAGGTGTGGAGACCAATGTCGGCGCATGACGTGGTGGCCAGTGTCGTTTTGCCAATGTTGCGGTGTGTCGAGGTGATCAGGATGGCCACGGGCGGCATCTTGAGATGGATGGCGCGCTGGCTGGTCGCGGCGACGAGCAGCTCGCGCAGTTGTCTGCGGAGAGGCGAGACGTGTTCCTGTCTGGTGACGGAGAGCGCCGGCGGCACGCCAGAATCGCTTTCCGACTTGGGGGCTTTGCGAAGACCGAGGTAGTATGGCCAGGTGCTCTGGTTGGTACCAGGGATGCGGCTGGTCACGAATCCTGACCCGTGCATGGCCACGGTTGCGCTGTCGATGCACGCTACAGAGCCCCAGAAATCTTGGGCAGACCCGTCTTCATCTTCGTCGGACTTTTGAATCTGGATATGGCCAACTTTGAACCACGCGACACCATCGTAATGGGAGCCTTGGGCCTGGTCACTAGTGGTGAGGGCCATAACATCGTCCACTTCGGAGCCACCAGCGCCAATGGCCTCCTGCAAGGCGCGTCCGAGTTGGGAATCAACAGACACGGCAATCAAGTCACCAGAACGCACCAATCGTAGCTTATCCGCAAAGTAGTGCTTCAAGCCACCGAGGACAGCTGTCTGGTAGGCTCGTTCAGCAGACACCGGAGTTCGCACATGCTGGATGGTAATATCGCGAGCATACGGCGGATGTGCTGCACTAGCAAATCGCGGGTTCGTACCCTTGCCTTGGTAGGACGACTTCTTCAGAGCTGAAATTCGCAGGTGAGTGGCGTTTTCGAGGTTGGCGAGGAGGACAGGCGAGGCATACACGGCAGGGCTGGTAGGGCGCTGAACCTGGGATTCAAAGAACGACAAACGACGCTCTCCGCCGCGCGAGCCAGCTATCCTATTCACAGCGCGTGGTGATGAGTAGCCCTCGGGAAGCCCGAAGACTCTGACCGGACGCCAGATGGCGGCCTCTGTATCGTTGTTGCCGAAGCTGCCCAGTCCAAAGGCGCCGAAGCCGTTGGCGGGTGGCTCTTCGGCGACCTCGATGCGTGCCCAGTCACCAGAAAAGCAGCCAATTTTGGACAGCGAAGACATGTCGACATATATTCTAGCCTCTTCATCGTCCTGTGCGGCAGGTTTGGGATGTAGAATTTCGGAGGGAATCGGTCCCTGGAGCCCGTGTGCCTTAAACAGACGGCCACGGGGTCTGTCGGCTCGCGCTGTTGTAGCTGTGAAGTTGGAGAAGACGGATCCCGGTGTCTGAATGCCGCTGGTCTTGCGTCCTCGCAGTGTAGCGATCGTCATAGGCGTGCCAGGGCCTATCGTGCCAGGTCCATTAATGTTGGTGGGGTGCAGCTCCGGCGCTTCGAGGGATATCATATCGTCCATGGAATCGTCAGAAAGTTCGTCTTCTTGCTCGGCGCCAGAGAAGTCAGTCTCTGTTTCGGTAGCCGACTCCGTCTCCGTCTCATCGGGCGGCGCGTCAGTCTTGTAGCGCTCTTCGGCGGCAGAAAAGAACTGATCGGCGCTTGTGTCCTCTCCATGGTCAACACTGCCATTGAGCTGACTCAGTGATGAGGCGCTACGCTCTTGTCTTCGGTGGACTCGGCCGCGCATGAGCACAATCTTGGTGTTTGGCGTAAGAATACCTTGCGCGACAGGCTCGCAGAGCATAATCTTGCCTGGATTGGGGGGCAAGTGCGTTACCGGGTGCGGCGGCAGCGGCAATGGGAACAAGTCGCCAGCATGGACCACCTTGAGCGTGCCGAGAGCAGCTCGCAGCGCAGTCATGAGACGGTCTTGGGGTAGTGTGCCGCGGGCGACTTGGTGAGTAGGATGTTCTCTGAAAAAGGTTCCTTGGCCATTTTCAAGTCGCTTAGTGAGCTCGCTCTCGAGGCTCACAAACACAGTCTCGAGCGGGACGGCGGCGATGTCGAGGACAAGAATCTCGATGCCGCTTCGGCTATGGCTGGACAGCTTGGAGGGCGCAATCTTTTGCAGTGTGACGGCGAAGCTCTGGAGGGCAGGCGAGGAGGGCGAGAACTGGACAGTCGAGTGGGCGAGGGCCGATGAGCGGATGACAGGCACAATGCACCAAGAGCCGCCAGTGGCAGAGGCGTTGGGCGTCCAGGGCGTAATGGCGATGTGGTGGATATCGGAGGAGCTCTCGTCATCAGTGTCTGCAATCCCACGGTTAGCAGCCGCGCTGGTCAGTAGCAAGTCGTTGCGCATCAACGTACCCCCGCAGAGGTGAGGAAAGAGGTCCAAAAACAGGTCCTGGGAGAGGACGCCGACATCGCTCTTGATGTGATCGTCGAGGATGAGGCGCGAGGTAATGGCAGGCTTGTCGGCACGTCGGCGACGAATCTTGTGCCGGGGTGCGGCGGCGGCGCTGGTCGAAGCAGTCGTCATGATGGCGGCTTAGGAGAGGCGATTCGATTGGTATCGAGGGCAGAGCTATAGAAAGCTTCCTCAGATGGATGGTGATGCAGAGCTCCGTTTAGCCGCCCCGCAGCACAGCTCTCGGCGGAGCAGGCCGAGGAACGCGGGACGTGGGACAAGTACCAAGGGCTCGCGGGAGACTGCGAGCTCGGATGCTGCCTAATGTGACAGAGCGCGCGAGGCTGTGAGAGGGGTGCAATTGGAGCGCAGAAGCGTCTGGGACGAGGTGCAAGAGGCGTGGAAGGAGTGGTGATTAATGTTAGTAAATGTTACGGCTTCGGGCACGGCTCGGTTGGATGCGACGGTGGAGGTGGACGGAGCAGGCCTCGGTAGAGCTGCGAGCTGCTGGTGGGCTGACGAAAGCGGTTAGGCGACGCCTTCAGGGGACTCAGTGGCTTTGGAGTCTTTTTGGGGAGCATTTTGGGCGACAACCCGCTGCAGTGCCCACTGTGGTTGCTGGTCTGGGGTTCGGTTCCGGCTGACTCCACTCAAGGCCGTCAAAGCAGCTTGTGACAACGCTAATAAGTGAATCGCATTTGCAAACAGCCAACAGGCAACTATGTATCGGAGACTTTGGGTATTGAAAAGAGTGGTCAATCTATGGCAATCATATTGGATCTTATGCGCTTGATTATCCGACAAGGAACCATTGTCAAGTCCCAACGGGTTGGACATGCACAGTTGAACCGCTGCTATCAATTTCTCGGTCAAGCAAGGAAACAAAACATATCGCCGAAAAAAAAAAGAGTCGATCAAATTGCTTTCCTAGACTCCACTCCGTCCCAACTGCTGCTTTTTGTCAATGACCATGTACTATTTGCAGCAGAATATGATTGAAAAAGCCTGGTATATTTGTCAAGCCAATCAGCACGCCGGTCGATGCGGTCGTCTTGTACCTTGTGTAACCGCGGGCTGCCACTCAGGCACCCCCTTACAGCCTTCCGGAACCACACACTCTCTTCTGTTCGGCCACGTCTTCCACAATACCTCACGCACTTCAACAAAGACTTGGTCTACAGCATCCATGGCCCATAACACGTCGAGGTGTTCGTACCCGGCCACGACTTTGCTATGGACGAGCCTGACATGAGGTTCCCGGCCGTTGCCGAAGCGGCGTAGTAGTCGTCGCCCGTCGACAAGCTCATCCTTTTCGCACACCCACAGCGCCATGGGCGGCGCCTGTTCGTCGTACCAGGCGGTGGCGCCACGCCCGTACAGCCGCCGGAGCGCAGTGCCCTCTTCCGTCTGGACCCGGACGATGCCGCCGCTGGTGGCCTCGTGCGCGTCCTCGTCCTCGTCAACCTGGTCCTCGCCGTGCACCGTCTCTTTGGTGGCCAGGACGCACGTGTGCCGCGCGAAGCCGTCGCTGCCCAGCCACCACCGCATCGTCTCGGCGCTCACGTACACGGGGGCAAACTGGAAGAAGCGGTCGCGCAGGCCGCGGTCCCACCGCCCGTCCGAACACCCAAGCAGGTACGAGAAGACTGTGTAGCCGAGCCAACCGTACATCTTGGGCGGCACCAGCCCATGCATCTGCATCATAAACGGAATGAAGGCGTGGATGCCAAACACGAGGCGGAACAAGGCCGGAGATAGCAGACGGACAAACCGAAAGTAGACGGTTTTGATCAGCGGCCCGGCATACACGGCGGGCGCCAGGGCACAAAATACCGAGATTTTGTTGCCCAGCTCCGGTCGCTGCTCCTTGGCCAGGGCGACAAAGGTCTGCGCAGTCCCTTGCGAGTGACAGACCAGGCCCAGCTTGGGAAAGCCAGTGTCGATTAAAACTCGGTCGATGAGGGCAGCGAGATCAAAGGCGCCCATTTGGTTCAGGTTCCAGCACCACATGCGCGGGTCGTCGGTCCGCAGCACCTCATGCCGGGGCTCGAGACCGCAGCGGTTGTTACCCAGCCACACATCGAACCCGGCCTTGCAGAGCCAAAAGGCCATGGACTCGTCGTCGCCGCAGCAGTAGGCGCCCGAGCTCTGCAGCAGACCGTGGAGCAACAGCACCGGCGCTTTGCGCTTCGCATCGGGGTCCTTGAGCCGCATTTTGGATTCCTGGAACACACGGCGGTTGAGGGCGAGAGGTTCCTTGGCGCTCGGCGTACTCGGAGGGGTCATAGACGTGCCATAGATCGATGAGGAAGCCGTCTTCCGTCTTAACCTTGATCTTCTCCACGTCGAGGCCGACCCTACGTGCATAATAGGCAATGTCGTTGGTGATGGGATCGCGGCCGCCCTCGGTAGGCTGATAGCGCTGGGCCAGGCCTTCTTGGTCGATGGGGCCGTCGCCGCAGGACATGCGTCGCTTCCAGGACCGCTCCTTGGCTTGCCGGGCCTCGGCGCGGCGCTGCTCCTCGTCGTAGAAGATGCGTCTCTTGTCGTAGTTACGGAATGTACATGTGTAAAAGGCCTTGTTGAGGAGGTCGGGGACGCTAGTAATCATGGACGCAATGACGATGGTGAGAAGGAAGAGCACGCTGAGAATCGATGAGCTGACTCTGAGGAGCAAGTACTGGAGTTTATTTGCGGCTGTTGGCGGTCCATATGTCGGCAGTGCTGCGAACAGACTCGTGATGTGAATGTTGTTGGTTTCATCTTCGTCTTGGCCTGTTTGTCCTCTTTTTTTGGTGTTCTCCTCCGTCTGGAGGTTGGCGCTGTCGACTCGGACATACTCTGCCTTGGTTGAACTGGCCTCTATCTGGGTACCAGACGGGAGGCTACTCTGCAATCTCGGGCGTCCTTGCACAACACCATTGGATGTCAAGGGCAGGCTCCTGGGGGTTGGGGCTTGCTCTTGTGCAACCATGGCGGCGAAAGGGGTTGGTTGTAGGAAAGTGAGAGAGAGAGTGCAAGGCAGGCCGCACGCGCCTCGCGAATGGTATTAGCTGGACCGCAGCAACCCCGCGAGAGCCGCCATCTATTTGATCTGCAGAACACAAAGCTTAATAATTAATCATGAAAAGTAAGCCAAACCAAGGCAGTCATGGCCAATTCCTGGTGCGGAGGAGTTGGGGCCCGCTAGTTGAATCTGGGGTTGGCGTTTGCACGAGCCGCATGTGATGGTTTTATGTGGGTGTCTAATGGCCTGGAGGATGGAAGTTGCAGTTGATGTTTAAGAGGATTATTTTTGATGTTTTTCTTCTGTCGACTTGGACCTATTGGGCGCTATTGCATACTCGCAAGTCGGGCACGCAACATGGTTGGGTGGTTACCCTGCACCAGGGGGACAAAATAAACCCGCCGGTTAGGAGCTAAATTTGTATTTATATTTATAATATATAGGTAGTTTAGTACTTATTAGGTTTCGGTTTTTTTACTAGTTCTTTTTAAGTTGTCCTAATAATAATACATAGCTATATCGCACTAGCCAACCCTACTATATAGTATAGGTGCCACTTCCTAGAGAGGTAATCCAGCCCTTAATAGTCTTAATAGTAAACCTCTATTTTTCTGGAATTACGTGTCTAGTAAGATGAAAGGTCCGGCTAGTAGCGCTTATTTTTTGAGTAGCAGCCTTACACCTTCTCGTTGACGATATTATTGACGTCATGATATATACAAAAACCCCAACAAACACAGTCCCACCATCGTCGCTACATACGACACAACGCACTATATAAACCATCCGACGACATTACAAACATAATACATCACCCCCAGAGCAAACAAACTCCCCTTAACGCGATGTCCTGCTCCAATGTCGGCGTGTCCCTCGACAACGCTGACAAATTGCAATACGCCGCCATCGAAAAAATCCAAATCGCCAGAATGAAACGTATACGCAAGTCTCTCCGGGCCATCAAAATTCCGACCATCAAAAAGGACACACTCGACAGCCTGTCTCTATCTCTAGGCCCAGAGCTTGATGTTGGCCGCGACGACGCATTGCCCTCATGCATCTCTAATACCTTCTTCGCGCCCTGCGACTGGCCGCTTGACGTCCTTGAGGACCGAACCTGGCATGAAAGAAGATACTGGTACGACCTGGGCCAAGTGAGGCGCGACCCGGCCATTTTGCTTCATTATATTCAGGCGACAATGACCTGGTACGAAGAGTGCCTCGACCGACTGTCAAACTTTGGGCCAGACCTGTGGCACGCTTATCGGTATGTGCAAATCTACTGTCTTCTTGGACACCACAGAACCTTGCTGACAGTCTCTAGTGATCAGCTGTCCATCAAAGAGGAGATCGGCCTATCCCTCCCGTATCGTCTGTTCCAAGAGCGCGGGTCGATCAAGTATTACCACGAATACTGCGGCATGTGGGTAATGTTTCCCGCACTAGAGACTAAGCTGCCGCACGTGTCCTGTATCGTTATCGACTCGGGTGTTCCCGAGGACGACGCCATCCTGCTCTCCGAGGCCGAGGCCGCCGCCGCTCTTGTCAGGTACCAGCTGCGAAGTCGCACCTTTACCAACCACCATACAAAACCCGCACTTATCGCCACCTTGCTGCGGAACCAGACGGCCCGCCTGACCCAGGCCTACTTTGACGGCAAGCAGAACAAGCTAGTCCTGCGCCAGTCGCGGACCCTGGACGTGTCAGGCCCCGAGCCCAGCCCGGACGCCTGGACGCTAGTGCGCTGGATCGCCAGTCAGCCTGTTGGGGAGACTCGCTACAGCGCGGAGGGCGTTAATCCGACGAACGCGCGTGGTCCTCCTCCCGCAAATATTGCGCCTGGAGTCCTGGTATAGCGACAGTCTCCTCTCTCGCCCTCCTCTCTCGCCCTCAATGCTATATTGGTAGCATATGGGTATAGTCTATCTGTAATAAATGAAGCGAAAGCAATGGTATTACTCATTACTCGGGCAGAGCGGCAGAGACGAGGTATGTCTGTATTCGGTGTGATTTACTAGCGTTTTCATACCTCTGTCAAATTCTATTGACGAGATAGTATATGTTGTAATACATTTGTAAGTCTAAGCTTTGATATACAGATAAAATGCATGACAGTCTTATGTTGTACAATGACGCTATACAGGCAGTCTGTCCCCGATTTTGTCTAGTCGTGTAAATGATGTCATTATATTCTCAGCCCATGCGCTCAGCCTCTTCGAGCAGCTTTTCGACGGTAAACCGGGCGTCCCCCGCGGCAAACCACTCGAGCAGCTGCTTGCGTGCGAGAGCGCGCTCCTTGCGCTCACCGTCGAGCTCGACGCCAGCCTCCCAGGCGCCGTAGAAGCGCTGGAGGCACATGGCGAGCCACTTGGCGTGCTCGGGGCGGACGCCGCGATCCTCGACGAGCTGGCCCTGCATGAGGACGAGGCCGTTGTCGGCGGCGAGATCGAGGTGGTGGGTGACGGTGGTGTGCGGCTGGGCAAACTCGCCGCGCGTCTTGTACTCGGCGAGCTGGGTGAAAAGGACGGTGCTCGTACGGGAGGGTGGATCAAACACCCACTGCAAAAAGTGCATCTCGGCGCCTTGCGTCGGGTGCGGGACGGGCAGGACGAACTGGGGCGCGGCGCGGGCGACGTCCTCCATGGCGGCGTACGTGGCGGCCGGGATGACGGCGCAGAGCTGCGCGGGGGAGGCGGCGTGCCGCAGGCGCCAGAGGGCCGTTATTTCCTTTTCCGGGAGCGCGCGCACCTTGTCGAGGTCGAGGATCTCATCGAGCGTCTTGACGGCGGGCCGGTCGCCCGACGCGGCCGTCTTGCGCGCGGCCTCGCGTTGGCGGGCCTGGCGGGCGAGCTCCTCGGCCGTCGGCGTGTGGTTGGGCTGGGCGACGGGCGTGCCCTCGGCCTGGGGGATGAACTGGTCAATGGCCGGGTCGAGAGCGCCCTTTGTGCGCTGGGCGAGGATCTCGTCGGCGTAAGCGGCGCGCAGAGTCTCGACCGAGTCGTGGCCTTCGGCGCGGGCCTTGCGGTCGAGCTTGTCGCGGTACTTGTCGAGGACGGCCTGCGCCGTGCTGTGGGTGGTGAGGAAGCGCACGTCGTGGACCTGCGCCCAGCGCCGCTGCACGGGGGCGGCTGGCAGCAGCAGCCGCCGCCGAGTCGCAGCGGCGGCGAGATGGCGGCAGACGGGGCTGCGGACGCAAGCGGCGGCCATAGCTGTGATGGGAGGCAATCGGTGATGTGAATCAATTGAAATTGGGAGAGGGGGAGGACGAGATGGATGGCGGTGGCTCTGTCAGGATGTTGCAACCTCGATTCCTTTTCGCCATCTGAAAGTTGAAGGCGAGTAGAAGTGGGGCACCTCGACAAGACGTCAGTGGGCTCCACCAACGAGATCTGAGTCTGTAATTATGAGGTAGCAAGTAGTATTAGTGACCACTTGTTCCCCTCTTAATGGTCATTTTCAAATGACCAGATACTTTCTGCTGGGTAGTCAAAGTCCAGGGCTACCTCGCAGTTCTTCTTCTTATTTTTCTGAAGGTAGATGTGTGAGGAGCGCGCATCATGTCTTGTGCTTCGGTTACAGCGGCCTTAGTTACAGCGGCCTTAGGCTGTAGGCTGTAGGCAGGCTGTAGGCTGTAGGCAGGCTGTAGGCTGTAGTCAGGCTGTAGGCTGTCCCAATAGCAGGTTATCTGGGGCTGAATGGCGCTGATTCAGGCTCCGTTACTGGTCGGCCACCTTGTGCAGCAGTTTGCACGCGGGGCTTTTTCGCCGCTGCACCACTGTCCTGGGACGCCCTAAAAAGCAACGCTTCCTCCATCATAAATCACACGTCAACCGCTGGCTTCTTCTTCCTCCTCGTCATCTTCTTACCAGACGTCCATTTTCGTTTGCCGTGTCCGCCTCCCAGTGCTTCAAGGCATTGTTATCTTCTTTCTGTTATCCTCTGTTCTTCGCTTCTCTAGACTCGCTGCCCGCGCCTTGCCTAATTCTCGTCCTCTCGTCCTAGCCTTTTTTCACTCTGCTTCCCACTTCTCTCGTGGTCAACCAGTTGTCGTTGATCAACCCCGCCTCGCGGCAAATGCCGACAATTTGAGCTGCGAAGCCTTGGGTCACTGTTGCCCATTTTGCATTGCATAGCGCGTCCTTGTTTTGGAAACTCACACAGGCATTTATTCTATTCCTTCTTCTTCCAAGCTACCCCCCGTGGCTTGCATCATGGCCGACTTTCGACAGCTTGCGCTTGAGTTTGTCCTTGCCGATGACCAAGCCCAGCAAACGTCCTTTGCCAAGCAGGCCGCGCAAGGCAAGCCTTGTCCAAATGGAACCCTCCATGACATAAAAAATGCCTACTAACCCTCTCCCAGAACTTCAGACCGCCGCGCCGGCCACCAACCCCGTCGCCCGCTGGGTAGAGTCCGTGCAGGCCTGGATGCCGGGAACCGGCGGTGACAGCCAAGACTCTCAGGAACAACCCGACTGGACGGTTCGAGCCAAAGGTGTGCCATCTATTGTGAATTTTGGTCAAGAATATATACTTACCCGAACAGCTTTGGAGTTTCTCTCAGAAACACTCGAGTATGTCGACAATGACGTTTTAAAGGCTAGCCAAGGTAAGTAACTTACCTGCGATATCGGCTCATGCTTATGGCTCATCACAACCTGCGCAGTTAAACTCTTGATTGGCTTCTTCGGCGCCATGTTCGATGTCGATCACAAGGCCGGCGTTTTGCCGTCTGCCTCGGCCCTCTCCAAAATCGTCGCCATGAAGTCGTTTCAGCCCTCGACTGGTTACGAAATCATCCAAAAAGTGTGCGCACTCAAGGACGATTTTCCCCGCCAGATAGCAAAGACACGACTCGAAGTATACGAATTGCTACGCTCCCTCATTTCACATAAAGACGTTGCCGCCAACATTAAGCGCCGCGATGATAGTTCTGGCTTTATCGTTGAGTTGATTGAACTCTGCCGCAGCGAGCGTGACCCCGACTGTCTACTCGTCTGGTTCGATATTCTACACACCTATATGCTGCAATATTCTCCCGAGAAGGACGTCCTGGAACATGTGTACGGTAGCTTCAAGGCTTACTTCCCAATCACCCTACCGCGCACCGCCCAGAGCAAGGTCACGCCCGAGGAGCTTAAATCTCAGTTGCGCAAATGTTTCTCGGCCCATCACGCCCTGGCAGACAGCACTATTCCATTTCTAGTCGGAAAGCTGGACCAGGGAGATGGTGTCACGGTAAACGTCAAAGTGGATGTGCTGCGCACTGTCAAGGCGTGTCTGGAGCAATACGAGGACCCCAAGCAGTCCGTGGTTCCCTTTGCTAATAGGATTTGGGGCAGCCTCAAGTATGAAGTTCGCAACGGTGAGATCGAAGATACCATCTGGGCCACCCTCGAAGCTCTCAAAGCCCTTACGACTCGTCTAACTGGGGATGATTTACGCGACTTTACCCTCAATGTCACCCGCGACTGTGTCAACGATCTCTCAAATGCCATGTATGCTGGTGCGGCGGGCCGACTACTTGTTGCTATTCTAAGCGCGTCGCCCGCCGCCTTTGTCCTCATGGTCGCACCTGCCATTACACACATCAAAGAGAACCTGCGCCATCCAAAGTCCGAGTCACATAGCCGGGATTTGCTGCGGCTCCTCAGAGTTATTCTCGAAACTCGGATACTGCTGATGAAGCACACCATCACTGCCGAAGAACTATCCGATTTTGTTTCCATCGACTCTGTTTTCAAAACCCTCTATGACGGCGTTGTCAAGACTCCCTTGATAGCTGCCAAGAACGCCAGCGCGTCTCCAGAGGAGCTCATAATCGGCACGGAAGTAGTTCAAAGCGCTGCTGTACTTCTCTGCCAGCGGGTCTCCGCGGCTGTTGACGGCACAACTGAAAGCCCCCGATTGTTATCTGACGAAACTTGTACTGAAATCTGTGATTTGCTCTTTGAAATTGCCATACGTCACTCGCAGGACCCACGACAACATCCCTCTGCATCTGATGAACTCGTCAATGAGACGGCCAAGTCTCTTCAGCGGATTGTTTTGGACCTACCAACCGCTTTTGCTACCCTATTGGAGAAGGGAATTGTCATCATACGGGAGGGATGCAAAGTGCCAGGCATTGACGCCGCGAAGACGATCCAAGATCTAGGATCAATGCTAGCATATGTTGGCTGCTCTGAACTCCCCTCGCCGCCCTCCCCTGGACTTAGACATTTTGTCACACTTATTTGTGCTTTGACAAATGAGCTCTTGGCAGCTATCGCATCCAAAGCAGACAACGAGCTTTGGTGTTCGCTGGTGGCTGGCATCCAATCAGCTTGTCGCTACTTCAACGACGCATGCTTCAAGAAAGACTTGGATCGTAATCAACTGCGCGTCTCTACCACGTGGCTGAGTGATATCACGAGCCTGTACCCCGAACTGAAGAGCGTGGGCAAGCCCGATGCAAGCCGCGAAGTGGATATGCTCAATTCTAGCACTGTCAAATCTATGGCCGATATTTACGGCGAGTTTCTTCTAATTACGTTATTTATCGTTCGAACGCTGTATCGCAGAGCAGCCCACACGACGGGCAAGATTGGAAATGAGAGCATAGTACTCAGCGACGACTTCCCTCCGGATGATCAGTTCTCTGCATCTCAATATCTATACTTGATATCTAGTCTCGCAAGCTTTGTTACACACGAGTTTACCGAGACGCAGCAAGCGGCGCTGGCAGCTGAGACGTGGGCCATCAACCTATTCCAAGATGGTTACGCGACGACGCCGAGCTCATGGAAATGGCTTGTCAACGGCCGCGTAAACTCTTTGACGTTTGGAATTGTGGAAGCTTTGCACCCAGCCAGAGTCGCCAAATTGGTTAGCAATGTAGACTACGATGGCTGGAATCAATGCTAATAGTGAATAGTTCGACGGCGATGTTGGCCAACAAATGCTTGTCGCCATCATCTCGAGCACAGAGAGAGATAACAGCGCCACTGCAACTGCGGTCTCCAAGTCGATCCTAAGCATACTCGCTAATAAATATACCTTGGAGACAGCCGAGCCAGTCCTGGACGCTATTAACACGCAATTGGCTAATGCGCTACTCAACTCAGATTACGCGTCCATTGACAAGGCCGTTCCGGTTCTTGCTATTGCGGCTGGTCTGCTCCGCCGATACAACGGAAAACAGACACAGCGCCTAGTCGAGCTCCTCCGCGACAGTCCCAAGAACAAAGCTATCGGCTACCACATAGCCCGCCGAATTGAGCTCATTGCCGCCCCGCAAAGTTTCCTATCTAAAGACGCCTATGCGGTGGTTAAGCCGCTGTGGATCCAGAAGCTCTATGTCCAGATGGCGCAGCCTATGTTGCAGTGTGCTCTGTCCACCAGCAAGTTCCCTTATGATAACATGGCCAAGACCAGCTTCGGTTTGGGTGTGCTCATGCTCGTGAAGCATATGCCTTACTCCATATATGAGGATGACGTTGAAAAGCTACTGCGAGTTGCTATCTCGGTTGCCCAGACTGTTGGTCTCGGCACCGACACGCTGGCCTCGCTTGATGTGCTCAAAACGACGCTGACAGAGGCGCCTGAAAAGTCGCAGGACCACATTCGAAGCATAATTGGAATCTGCACGAGCACCTTTGCTGTCGACCAGGACGCGAAACCGAAGCCAGATTGGGTGCCCGAGGATATTGCTGCAGCATCGCGTGATCCAGAGACGCTGGCGCGCTGTAGCAAGGCCGGGCTCCAGATTCTCGGCGGCCTGCCGCGGCTCGTCGAGTCACGCTACCTGTTGTCATATGTGCCTCAGGTAGAGAGATATCTTGCCGCAGCTTGTGGCCATGGGGTCCGCGACGTGCGTGCGTCTGCTCGTACGGCACGTGTGGCATGGGCAGAAGTGAAGTAAGAGGAGAGAATGGAATTGCATTCAACGACTTGATCGGCGCTGCAGTGGGCGGCTGATTGTGGTGTGGACAAAAAAGGGGGAAATGCTTGTTATTATCCAAGTAATGATTTCGTTTTTAGTAGATTAAGTTCGTTGTCATGAATGCACGAGTGGACGGGCGGCTTGTAGCTGTTCTTTGTACCATAATTATTCATGCAGACACTCTCATATTGTTGTATTTGGTTTACGCAGATAGGTGGAAATACCATTTTGTCATTGGCTCTTTGTTTAGTTATCCATTTGTACTCTTTTCGCATTTGATGATGCATTTATTCCCTTGGTCCTTTCAACAGCAACCCCACCAACTAGATGTAACCCAAAAACAAGCAAGTATTCGCTAAAATATAAAACACTTCCTCTCTTACCCAAGCTACACCATTTGGGAGTACCGTGCAACCCAGACCCGCCGTATTTTCCTCCTCTCTCAAGAGACGCAGCTACGCCTTGCGCTGCCGCGCCTGGCCCTTGCCCTCCGTGGCTGACGCCGCGAGGACGGCGTCAAGGAGATCCGGGTTGGCGTTGAGTGTCTCCTGCGAGGCTTTGACGCGCTTGGGGTCCTGTCGGCCGATGAGCGGCACGGCGGACGCGAGCATCTCCTGAAACGGCGCGGCGACAAAGTAGCCGATCTCGTCGAACCAGCCAGCAAACTCGTTGGCGAGTGTGTATGTCTGCGGCTTGCCTTCGCTGGCGCGTTTCGGCCGCACAACAATGTCGAGGTTGTAAATGGGAATATTCTTTGTTGTCGTTGTTGAGACGATAATCTTTTTTCTGCCATTAGCTGTGCTCTGCTGTTTCGGCGGGGGGGGGGGTGAAAGGGTGGTGGCAGGCAACGTACAGTGTCGCCGGACGGCGCTGTGCCCTCGTAAATGACATTCTTCTCCTTGTACGTCGTCCAGTACGTCAGCGCACCACTAAGCACCATGTAGACGACGACGGCGGCCGCGGTCCAGTACTTGGTCGTGTCCCAGCCGAGCTTGTAGTCCCACAGGAAGCAGAGCGCGGCGACGGCAAAGGAGCTGTAACCGAGCGCGAGACGCACGTCCTGGAGGGTGTGCGTCTGCTTAAACTTGAGCGAGTTTAGGTAGTTGGGGATGGCATCGTCGGATGTGTTTTTGAGATCTGGTGGCGCAGGCCGTGTCAGAAGAGGTCACTCAAGCCAGTCGAGGAGGAGAGAGAGGGGGCTTACCCGCAAGGTTGTAGAGGGAAATCTTTTCGGCCGCCATCGTGGCTGTGGAATTGGGTGCGCCGCGGTCGTAGAAATTCCGAACAGCAAGGAGTGAGCCGTCGAGGTTGAAAGTAGTTATGCGGCGACGTGTGTGTAAGTTGTCGTGGGGAAAGGATAGCTGGCCCCAGCGACCGACAGGTGGGGACAACCTTTGAGCTGTCGCAGTGGTATTCCAGCGCCTGCCCGCCCGTACAGCACAGGCTGTCAGCCGCTGGAGCTAGCGGCATGCGGCAGAATAGTAGCTCCGGGCAGGTCCATCCATCCCGCCGCAGACCAAGCTCGGGTCAGCTCCCATCGACAACTCGCCCTGTTTCCCATCGACGGACCTCGATTTCCATCTTACCACCGCTGCGGGCCGAACCCAATTCGCCGTTCCTCCCATCATGGCGCAGATTCCGGTGCAGACCCTTTACAGGGACCCCCAGTTGTTGTACGTTTTTGCGATGCCGGCCTTTCCCTGGGCTCCCCGAGAGCCACCCACGAACAAGCAACAGCCATCACTAACTACCTCGCGCCGGTCGCCAGCTACTGGATCCTGATCCCCATCAGCGTCGTCATGGTGCTCACGGGCGTCCTCCGCCACTACGCGTCGGTGCTCATGGCGCCGGTCCCAAAGAAGCTCGATGCGCGTGCGCTCCGCGAGCAGCGGGCGCTGGCGCGCGGCGTCACCCTCCGCGGCAACCACCACGTGCTGTCCCGGCGGGCATTTGAGGCGCGCCGCGAGGCCCTCGCCGCCGGCTACGACTCGGGCGAGTTCCTCAAGGACCCCGACAGCAAGGGCAAGCCGCCCGCGAACCCGCTCAGCGACCCGGGCGCCATGGACGGCATGATGGGCATGATGAAGAACAACATGGCCATGATTATCCCCAACACGCTCATCATGAGCTGGATCAATGCGTTCTTCAGCGGCTACGTCATTAGTACGTATCGGCCCGTTTTGTGATGGAGGGCAGTGCTGAGTTTTGGTTTTGCTAACCACGGAGTATAGTGAAATTGCCGTTTCCGATCACCATCAAGTTCAAGAGCATGTTGCAAGCGGGTGTGCAGACAAAGGACATGGACCCTCGATGGATGTCAAGTATCAGTTGGTACTTTTTGTGCATCTTTGGCCTGCAGTTTGTCTATGTCTTCCTTCTCGGCAGCGACAATGGTAAGTCGCCCCGGAGGCTCCAGCAGCATGTACAGACTGAATTGCTAATACCCTCCTCACAGCCGCTAGCCAGCTTGCTCAGCAGATGCAATCCCAGCAGATGCCCATGAATCCCATGGGCGGTGCTGGCGTGGACGTCGATAAGCAGTTCAAGGCCGAGGCAGAGAACCTTCTCGTCGTTGAGCACTACTCTGTTCTGGACGAGGTTGAGAATCGCCTGCTAGCCCGTTTCTAGCGGCGTGTATTATCCCACTGGAAAAAAAAATAGACAGATGATAAAATAATGTGTACAGGATATGCGCCGTCCCATGAATGCCCCCAAATAACAGAAAATCTACCCAAACCATGTTTTCCAATAATTCCGACCTATGAGTCCCACCAAAGGCAAACGCCGAGACCTTCCTTAGCCATGCTGCCTTTGATGCGGTAGGGTGTCTTGATAGGCGAGTCTTCAGCCTGTGTAGGGCCAATGGGGGTCTGGTCGTGCCATTCCTCATCAACCACCTGTAGGCGCACCATTTCGTGGGTATCATAGAATAGTCTCTGCTCATCCACACTCCAGATCCATAGCTGTTCAGAGTGGTTGCTGGGTACGCAGTCAGCGGTGCGCGCACAACGTAACAAGGGGGGGGGGTCCGGCTTACTATTCAGCACCAGGAGGCAGCTCCTCAAACGGCACAAAGATGTCGTCGAAGAAGTCTGTCCGTACATTGATACCGGCTGGCGTGGAGCTACGTATGCGGCCGATGAGGACTTCACCTTTGAATGGGCGAAAGACAATCATTCGAAACTCGGCTTTTTTTGAGAGAAAGTTAGCTGGCGTCGTGGAATGAAAGATAGGCTCGGAGGTGTCATACCATTTACATTGACCAGTCCCGTACCATTGCCAATGAGTCCCTCTGACGTCCATAGAATATCATATAGGCATATGCATAAGCCGATTTTCTGAATAACCTGTAGCAATGAAAAGTCAGCCTACGTGCCCCGCGATGTTCTGGCGAGGTTCACTCACCTTGTTGGAGTATTTTGCATTAATGTTGTCTTCAATGGCGATTATACTGCGCTTGGAAAAGTCTTCTGGCGCAATTTGTACCAGGTCGGAGATTTTGGTCTAAAGCAACACTCTGATTATTATTCGGTGCGTCGAGTTACATGGCTTGGCAAACGTACTAGGATAAACATGACGGACTCGTTGCGGCAACGACCTGCCAGAGCTCAACTCAAACGGTTGCAGTCACGGCGCCCAATTTGAGAAGAAAGGGATATGAGAGGCTAGATGACTGCTCGGAATCCGCTCGACGAGGGAGAAAAAGACGAGCTATTGCTGGGACTTGGATGGCCGTCAGCTTCATAGACGCGCCTCTGGTCTTAGAAAATTAAAGAGCTGGCGGACAAATCCGCTGCATAGACCTAAACGGGTTTAGGTGTCAAGCCTCACTGTGGCTTGAGGCTCTTGACCGCCTGCCGATTACAGTTTTAGGGTGACTCGTAGCTCAACTCTGAAGACTGTGGCAGAAAAAAAAGGGTATCATGGCACCTAGAACACCTAGAACCTACCTCGTTAATACCTGTCCTGGGAAATCTGACGATCCCGCTTCTCCTCAGGCTTCAGGCAACGAAACAACTAACCGCATCATTTGGGATCCCGTTGGGCACGACAGCGTACGCCTAGTACGGTCAAGGTAAAGCAAACTCATGCTATTCGGACACTGTTGCTTGTTTGTTTAATTGCGGCGTCGTTTCTCCTTCTCTCATCACCGCCTGCTTGCTGCCTGCTTTCTACCCGAGCGCTCTCTCGCCCCTTCCTCCTTGCTCCAATACCTAACTAGCTATCTCTTTCCGTCAACCCACTATTCCAGGGCAAACATTTTCTCCTCTTGTTGGGTGAAAACCAGCAAGCGCACACTCACCCCTGACATCTCTACATTGACCTCTGCCTCGTACGCATCATGTCGGGATACGGGTATGGGCCGCCACCGCCCCCGCCCCCAACGTCGAGCGCTCTAGGGGGATTTGGTCGCGGATCCAGCTTGCCGCGACGTGGAGGCTCTCACGGCCGTGGAGGTCGTGGAGGACAGGGACACCACAGTGCGCCTCGTCATGAGCAGCACCATGCTACGCAGCCGCGGTACGACTATCCACCACAGCCCTATGCGCATCACCCTGCTGCCGCGATGAGTTACCCTCCTGCGCCTGCTCCCGGCTATCCGCACCAAGTTCATCCTCCCGCCTCCCAATGGGGCCATGAGCACGCCGGCCATCATGCGCACGCCGCTGCACCGATGCCACCCGCCTCGTATCCTCCAACATATCCCCCGCAGAGCTACCCTCCGACGCATTACACCCCTCCACAGCCGGTCCCCTACCCGCCGCCTCAGCACTACCCCTATGGCGCGCCGCCGCCACCGAACCCGTCTCAGTGGAATGGGTCGGTACCGCCGCAGCATGTTGGTGGCCGGCCAACCCGCGGCGGATATAACGACAAAGGCCCAAGGGTAACGGCAAGACCTCCAACTGGAGGCGGCTATGCACAGCCCTACCAGTCCGACCCCCGTGCTCACCACCCTGCTCAGCACTATCCATATGGGGGGCCCTCCTCCCCCTCCTTCAGCGCAACGCCATGCCTCTCACCAAAAGGACACGCAGCACGGGCAGTACCCGCGTCGCGGTCGTGGAGGAGGACACAGGGATGGCGGCAATCGTGGCCGAGGTGGCCACAACAACGACAGACGCCATAACAACAATGCCAAACCCAATCAAAATTCCGCCCAGCACAAAAATGACTCGGCATCTCTTGGAAAGAAGAAGAAGCGCAAGACGAACACACTTGGCTTGACCCCTGGGATGGAGTCGGAATCCGAAGACGACGAAGGCGAGGAACAGGCTCTCAGTGAGTTGATAGGAGAAGAAGCACTGAGGTATGCAAATCTTCCTGTATCTGTCAAATCACCGCAACAATACTAACAACGAATCTAGAATTAGCGATGTTTCTTCTTTTCTTAAAGAGCGTCGTAAAAATTACCCCACGAAAGCTCGTACTGAGGCCAGGAAAGCAGCCGCGCAAGCGCAAAGGAACGAGGACAAGGCTGCCTCGCTTGAGAAGGAAGCAGACAAGCTGCGGAGGCAGCTGCGCAAAGTCGAATCTTCTATTAAGCGAAAGCGAGAGCAAGGCGATGAGGGAGACGAGATGCGTGGAGCTTCTGATGACTCGTCTGACGATGGGCCCCCGGAGTCTCTCTCAACGAAAGCAAAATCTACCACTATCCCCAGCCGACCACTCCCCACCGCTGCCGGAAAGAGGGCAGATATCACTAGGCACTGCAAGTACTATTCGACAGGTGGTACCTGCGGCAAGAAGGGCAAGTGCCGCTTCGTGCATGACCCGGAGATCCGTGAGGCCGCCATCAAGGAACGGGAGGCCAACAACGGCCGCCTGACTATCCAGCAGCGGTTGATTCTTAATGACAAAGAGCAAGAAGATTTGACAGTCCTGCGATCCATCCAGTATCTCCGTCAAAAGGGTATCATGTCTGACGCCGTTGCCGCGAGTGCGGCAGCATTGAATGGCAGCGAAGAAAATGGCAGCAGCGAATCTTCAAAGGTCAAGAAGGAGGCTAAGGCTGCCAGTCAAGACCCAGGCCCGCCCCTTGTCGTCTCGTCTACTTCTCCATATCAGTTACCGCCGCCTCCCGCCTCGGTATTGCCGGTGACTGTCAAGGAGGAGTTTGGTGCGATGACGGCACAGGGCCACTCAAACGGCAAGGCAGATAGCCCGGAAAGCACCAAGCACTACGAGGGCTGGCTCCTCCAACCCTATGGTTCCAATGGCAGGGAAAACAACGTTACGCCGTGAGTACCGGCGCGTTGAATCATCATGTACAATTGCGAGCAAGAGCAACCTGGCGCAGAAACTGTATCAGATACCGTAGATATACCAAGGGGTACAATATATACTTCAGTGCTTACTTGATTACAAACAGCTTTGCTTTGTGATTGCGACTACTGAAGGAATATCACTATTTGAAAGAGATTGCGAGCAATGCGAAATAACACTTGTGACACTTAACACGCACGTCTCAGCGGTATAGAAATGTATAAACAAAACTCCATCGCGAACTGTCTATATACTAGGGATGCTGACTGAACCCCCATGCATCTGCGCACCACCCCGTTTGCCATCTTTATAAGAGCAAAATGAAGAAACAATGACGGAACCCAGGAGCAGAGTGCGGTAGACAAAACAGTAAAAAGAAAAAAAAAGACGTCAACGCTATGGTATATTCTCATGCTGCTCCCACTCCTTCCTGTTCTCTTCAACGTGTTCCACCCTCTCGTCCACGGTGGCATGGCATCGGCCACTGCCAGTAATCAGGAGCCGGGACATGTTCCAAGACGAGCAGAGGACAAATCACCGGTAGTCGCCATAGGCGCGACGACGACGCTCCTCCTTGGCGGCCTTGAGGCTCTTCTCCAGCCTCTCCTCGCGAACATCCTCCAGGCGGGCGATGCGCGCCGCGCGGTCCTCCTCGTCGTCGATGTCGTCGATGCCAGCCTCCATGTCTTCGGAGGCGTCCGAGTTGTAGTCGTAGCCAGTCGGACGACCATCACCGCGGCCGTCGTCGTCGTCGTCGTCGTAATCGATAAAGTCGTCCATATCCTCGTCATACTCTTCGTCGTGCTGGTGGGCACGGACCTTGGGCGCACTGAGCAGCGCGCCGCCGCGCGGGGCGTCGTGGTGCCGCTTCTTGCCGTCGACAGCGTCGGGCTTGGGCCGCGCAGTGCCCGCATACCCGGTCGTCGCCGTTGCGGCCTTTTTGACACGCTTCCCCGGCTCCACCGCGGCAGCGGCGGGCCCGCGGCGGGCAGAGCCAGGTGCTGTCACTGATCGTTGCCTGGACAAGGACGAGCTGGCGCCAGGTCGTCGGGGGCCACCATTGCCGGTGCCCGCAGGTCGCTGTAGAGGTCGTGACGTCCCTCCATATCCGGTGGAAGCTGCGGCCGCCTTCTTCTCACGTGCGGCGGTGGCCGCGGCTGCTGCTGCCTGCAGCTCCTCTTTGGACCGCTTCGGGGGCTTCTCTACCTTTTTGTGCTGAATCTTGCCCACCTGGCCCATGGAAACTTGCGCAGCCTTGCCACGGGCCAGGATCTCGGCAAACGATCCCTTCTTTGGCGCCGTCCTCGGGGCTGCGGCGGACGACAACGCGGGTTGGGGTCTTCTCGAAATCGTCGTCGGGGGCGCTCCGGGCGTCGAGCCGGCAGGCCGACCAGTTGCTGTTCCGGTGTAGGGCTGGCCGGCGGCAGCGGATGAGGAGGCCCTATCGCTCGACGGTCGGGTGTTCGGGTTCAGCTTGGACGGCGGGGGCGTAACCCGCCGTGCCTTGCTGGCGCCGCTGGCAAGCTCGCCGCTGGCCTTTCGCTTGATGTTGGCGGTAGGGTTTGGGCGGCCGGGCGCCGAGGCCTTGCCCGGCCCTCCGCTGATCGAAGCTAACAAATCACCGATCTGGATACAGTCAGTCATGAAAAAGAAGGGGGTGCTGCGGAGAGTCTTGAGGACTCTTGCGTCTCTTGGGGGCCGGGGGTTTCGACTTACAGGCATCGTGCAAAACCAAATTGAAGGGCCGTTGAAGATGCTGTCTAGGTGCGTGGTAGAAGGAAAAGATATGTGCCTGCTGCTCAGCACTTAGTCACAGCCCCGGGACCCAAAGTCAAGGCTCTGATGCTCCTCGCAAGTTGGGCAAGCTCCGACCTGGGGCGCCGAGGCAGCAGCGTTTTTTGTTCGACGTGTACAGAGCACAGCCGCGTCGAGGAGAAGAGAAGCCAATGAAATTAAAGTAAATACTAAACAAAAGCGGTGTGAGGAGGCCCTTGTGATACTGTGCTTCACAGACCGCTGTATGAGGTAGATTGCTGCGCGACAAAGAACATGAAAAGAAAAAGACGTGACTGACTGATTGGCACTTAATAACCACCACACCAGAAGCCACCAGAAGCCTAACCAACCAAGGGTGGCTGGCTGGTCGTCAAAAAGAGCACGCGCCACAATTATGAAGGAATGGAGCACGTGATGCGTACACAGCCTGTGGCGCTGCCAACTGTGGCTGTTGCACTGGTGGAGACGCCAGAAGAGGGATCCACATTGTCGCCCACGCCCTAACCTGAGTGGCTCGCTAACCACATTAACCCGTCGCCCACAAACTGGAAAAGAATTGTGTGAGGGCATCCACTGCTGGGGCTCTTGCGCTGCCCATTTTGTCGCGACCCGCCAGCGCAGGCCTTCCTCTTCCTGTAACCTACTTTCAAGCCAATTCAACAAAAATTTGAACCCGAAGGTTTCAGTCTCCGCCTCAATACTCGCGGTTAAAGTGATTGATTTCTCGTGTTTCTCCCAAACAGTGAGTTACCCCGCGCTGCGCATGCCTGCCTGTCAAACGCCGATTTCATACTTTTTGCGCCATGGGCTTTTTTCCCTCGAGATTACAAACCGTCAACCAACCCGGCTCGAGGAGGGGGAGTCTTTGTGGTCAATCAGAAATCGCTCCGACAGCGCAGAGCACTGTTCGCTCTTGAGACTACAGCCTGACTAACTGGACCTCTTCTTTCTCTCACGACTAGAACATTCAAAATGAAGCACCTCGCAGCTTACCTTCTTCTTACCCTCGGCGGTAACGAGTCCCCCTCCGCCAAGGACATCAGCGGCGTCCTCTCTGCCGTCGGCATTGAGGCCGACGATGAGCGCGTCAAGACTCTCCTCTCCGAGCTCAAGGGCAAGGACATCAACGAGGTACGATATTACCACAAGCCCCCCCCCCGGAGGCGCTTGTCGACGAATTGAACCGTTCCTGCGAAAACACGGCGGTGCTCGGCCTCGCAGGGAAGGACATTCGCTACAAGACAGCCTCCCCCCCTCTCGCGGCACACGCATACATGGTGGATGTGAAAAATGCTAACTTGCAGTTTTGTAGCTGATCTCCGAGGGTGCCAGCAAGCTCGCCTCCGTTCCCTCTGGCGGCGGTGGCGGTGCTGCTGCCGCTGGTGGTGCCGCTGCTGCTGGTGCTGCCGATGCTCCCGCTGCTGAGGAGAAGGAGGAGGAGAAGGAAGAGTCCGATGAGGATATGGGATTCGGTCTGTTCGACTAAGCGGTCTATTTACGACTCTTACGGTAACGACGAAAAAAAGGAACATGAATCAAGGTCGGGGGGTTTTTTTTCCGGGAACCAAAAAGCGATTTTCATGGTTTTCGAGCTTTGTGCAACAGACATGGTTGGTTTAGAAATTGGACCAATGTGCACACTTGGGGGTTTACGTCTTGAACACGCTTTGTTGCGCTAGTTGAAGTTGTTTGACCTCGAGATTTACGATGAATCATAATCCTTTTCCAGAATTGTTGCAGCTGTTATCTTGCTAGTGATGATGTGATTAGAGCTGTGTTGTGTCCACCTTGGTGGTAAGTTAAAACGCTGCGTCCTTTCCATAACAGGCCATTAGATTACATATTTGTAAGTCCCATTAATATTCCATCGCCTGGCTTCTCTCTACCTCTTCTCCGGCCGGTAGTCGGATTCATCGCCCTGCCAGGAAAACCTGCGCGGTTCCGCTACTTCTTCATAGGCAGGCAGAGGCGGCGAACCTTCGCGGGGACCAATAGCCGAGAAGCGCTCCTCTCGAGGCTCCGGGTGCACATCTTGATGCGCACTGTCGTCGTCCGACTCGCCACTAGTGCTACTACTACTACTACTTTAACAATGTTAGCCATGGTGGTGCCCCCGGCCCGGGCCTCTTATTCTCCCGCTCGAATACTTACGAGTACCATGCTTGTAGCTCTCCGGCGGCTTGATAACCCAAGAGGTTGTGGACAGCGGCTTGAAACTCTTCCTCGCCGCTGCACGGGTTGCGGGCGGCGACGGGATGGATGCCAATGTGTAGCGGCGACGTTGCTCGTGTCGTCGGTGCCGCCTGGCCAAACGCTTCCGTTTCCGTCGTAGGTAGCGACATTTGCTTGTCTGCTATGACGGCAGCGGGGACGGCGGTGACGGCCTTGATGCCAAACGCCTCTTTGAGCTTGGTGAAGCGACCGCCACCCGTACCCTGACTGCCGTCTTCTAATTTCGTGAAGCGACCGCCGTTGGTACACTGGCAGCTGGTTGTCGTGGACGGTATGCGCTCGTGAGTGTGGTTATGTTGGTGGTGGTGGTGGTGGTTGTGGCGGTGGCCGAGGTGGGATACTCTGCGTATCGCGTGGTGCGTGGACTCGTTGCAAGACTTGCAGCTCTTGTGCCGCCCGCAGAGATAGATGCTGACGCCGGTAAAGACGAGTATGGCGAAAATGCTCACGGAAAGCGCAGCAATTTGCGCGGGGGTGGCTGGCGCCGTCTCCTGGTCAGCCGGGTGTTGGCCCTTGTCAGTTCTCGCCGTGTGCCCGTCAAACGACGACCGGGAAAACGGGTGTCACTCACGGCGGTAGGTGGCATGCTTGCGGCTGCGCGAGCGCGTAAGATGTATGCGTCTACAAGTGAATGCAGCGCAGAGTATTGTGACAGTCGTGCAGAGACGTCCCGATTGGGTTGCTGGACGGGTTAGACAACGGGATGTGAGGGGGGATAAGTTCGGCTGGGAAGCTGCAGGAAGCAGCTCGAGTTAGGTATGTAATCAGCCTGGATGAAAATGGACAGTTCAGTCGTCTGGGGCTGCCAAGCCAGGGTGAGAGGCAGGCAAACAATTCTGCTGTAGTCGGGTGACACAAGGCTACTTGCCGAATAAACTACCTGCCTACTGTAGCTACCAAAGGTTGGCCTGGATATCAGGCCCGTTCATCGGCCCTTTGGGGACGCCCAACTGGAGAGAAACAGCGCCAGCAGTGTCGCCGGCGAATACTGAGACATCTGAAAAAATAGGCCCTGTCAAGCACGATCCCAGTGCACTGCTGAAATGTCAGGCCCTGTGCCCTGTAATGGCATAACAGTGCTCAGCCAAGACGTCCATGTCCCTCCCCCCGGCCTCATTCGCGGCGCCCCAAAGCAAACAATTGCCCGCTTGGCAAGGTTTAACAGCACTGTATTTCGCCATCGCTACCAGTATAGAGTAGAGGAAGGGGGCGATGACGAAACAAGCCATGTTCTATTAATATAAAGAATGTTCTACCCGCATGGGACGATTAATCTGGGTGCTGCAGCCGTGTTAGTCCAGTGCTGCAGCCGCGCTGCAACACCTGTTTTTCCTTCCCCGCTACCGGATCGAGACGACAACCAACCTGTGCCGCAATTCCGGTGTTTGACAAAAAATTTATTACAACGGCATCTTCCGTCGAGGGTGATTGCCTGTCGCGGTGGCAAGCAAGATCGGTGAGCCGGCCTGTCTCGGAGACCAGTACCTTGAACGGGGAAGCCCAACTCACTTACAAGGGTGCATTCCTTTTTCTGACGTCGTAATAGCTATTATTAAACTCGGTGTTATTAGAGACGTCCTGTAATAACAGACTTGTGCTAATCCAGTTCTAGCCCAGCTAGTCTCTAAACAGTCACCTTTTTATATCTTCATTGCGCCTTTTTTGCCTTAGTCGTCTTAGCGGCAACGGGCAGTATGTCACTCTCCGCAATCAGTCTCCAGAAGCACCAAGCGTAGCAAATCATAAAGCCAGCGGCGCCAATGCCAACGTTAGCCACTACCCAGAGATCAGGCTTACTCGGCGGCGGCGGTAAAAGCGCCTGGGCAATGTGCCAGGCAACCATCAATACGTAAAATCCCGAATGCAGCGCCAATGTAGCGTACCGCACAAGTGGCGTAGTGTGAGCGTCTTGCAGCGGAGCGGTCCATGACACAGGTGGGAGACCAAGAAGGTATGCCCAAAGAAGAGTGAGCACCACATAGGGGATGGTAAGGTCCACACGCTGCAACAGCGGGAACATGGTCCACGCGCCGAGTATGTTAGCGAAACCGACCCAGGAGCGCACGTTTCCACTCAAACCCTGCTTGCCCGCAAGAAGCATCGTCATAGGCATCAAAGGCAGCAACACGCTCTTTTCATGAACCTGGTAGCTGAAGAGAAAGAAGCCCCAAGCCGTCGTGGCAAAGGCCAACGGCATAGTAGCCTTGAGCGGCTTGGCGAACAGAATCAGGTTTGGCGGGATAATGGCCAGCAGCGTAAACAGAAGGGAGGCCTTTTGCAGCAAGTCATTGGGGTAGTTGCGTAGCTTGATTACCACATTGGCAGCACACCAAAAGTTTGCGACCTTGTCCTCGAAGAGACCACGGGCAAACGGAAACACACGGTGCACCATTTGCACGAGCTGCTCCACCACAGGATAGTAGAAAGCATCGGTATCGAGATAGTCCGAGAGAAATGATAGGATCGGCAGCGGTGGTGGAGGGCCTCCGAGCTCGGCGCGCGAGGAGATGCCACGGTGTTCATCATAGAGAGCACCGGCGATGATTGGCACCAGAAGGACGGCAAACGAGACGAGCGTTACCAGGGCAATGCCAATGAGGCGGCCAATGCTAATGTTAGGCTTAACACAACGTCCAAGAAGGTAAGCGAAGACGCTGAACGCATAGTAGAGCGCCATCTGCTTAAAGCCCAGTGCACCGACGAAGAAGACGGCAGCCCATCTGTATCGCTCAGCGAGGAGACTCGACATGCTAGCAAGCACCAGCCCCAGCATGACTGTATTGTATTGGAAGTGAACATGGTCAATGAGTATGGTGCCGGGTTGCATTAGGATGGCAACGAGGGCGACATTGCTGGCCCAGTTCGGCACGCTGCTCAGCCTGCTGAAGCGGCGGACGAACACCACGACAGCCGGGATGTAGGTAAGGTACTCGGAGACGATGACGGATGCGCGCATGAAAACTTTGAGATTGGCGTCATGAGATCCGCGCGACGTAAAGAGCGCAAACCACGCAGGGTCAAACAATGCGCCAATCTTGCCAAGAAGCCAGCTGTGATAGGCCGTCAGGGGCGGGTAGTCGAGCCCCCACCACTCGAGATCGTGAAAGTACCATTGGGAGATGGGAAGATGCGTCGTGATTTCCATCCAGTGTCGCTGCGCCTCGTAATCGCCAAATAGGGGGGGACGCTCGAAGCCTGTAGCAAGTAAATGAAGGAGGTGGTCAGCGCGCACGTCTGTCAAGAGGCCGTTTGCTGGCCATGGAAGGAGATGAGCAACGTACCAGAGTAACCCCAGAATCCTGCAGCCCAGCGAAACAGGCCAGCGACCATGAGTACGAGGGGGAGGACGGTCCATTGCGATGATGCCGTGCGCAGCGGCCAGAGGAATCCGGCCAGTGGGAACAAGGGTGCTTTGGAGGGAGCTTCGGCGCGCGGCCGGACATCGAGGTCGATGGCGTTTGTCTTGCCCTTGCGCCTGGGCTTGTGCGAGGCAGGGCTGGCCATGGCCATTTATTCCTTGGCCCTGGTTTTATACCTGACGCGTAATAGAAACCGACATGCAGAAGAACCAGTTGCGGCGTCGAGAGAACAGCACGAAGCTGAGGGGGGAAAAGGAGAAACGGAGTCGCGAAAAAGAGTGACGTGTGAGGATGAAGCTTGGAGCACCTCTGGTGGAGTGAGCAAGCTTGGTATTAGTTACCTGTGTGGCCTTTAGCCCACGCTACGGATAACCCATAACTACCTACGATGTTGGCTATCAAAGTAAATGAAACGAGCTCGACATGCAGCACAAACTGCCCTAGGATCATTGCTGTATTACTTTTCTCGATGGAATTCCTTCTCATACTGGTATGAACATTTTTTTTGTTGCCTCGAAATGTGATGGATTTGTCGAGGTTCTAGTTATCGTAGCTTTTCTCCATGAACCCACACTCTCTCATCGGTCTGAGACACCAACTCAGAAACTAAATACAACCCTAACGGCAAGGCAAAGCCAAGACAAAGCTTGACGAGTAGGCTGACCTTCGAATCGGGCGAAGGTATTTTCTGCGGGTCAAGTTACGAGGGCTGCAGGGGAAGGGAGAGAAGGTAGGTGGTTCATAAAATGAAGAACTTCGACAGGGAAAGAGGAGGGGACTGAAAACGAAAAGGAGAAACCATTTCGACTACGTATCGACAGTGGCTAAGACTGTGTAGGTCAAACCCGCCCGTTTCGTTGTAACGTTTACGTGTTTGTGGTCGCTAACAGCCAGATGTACTTGGTAGAAACTTAATATCAGGCTACCGAGGCAGAAATCAACCTGGTCGTTTTTTTGCTCATTGGAATGCAAACATAACACGATGATAGCAAATCAAAGCTAGGAGGGCTCAGCAAAGGGATTCCTGCAACTGTCTCAGTCCTCGTCTGATATCGCTAACTACCTAGCGGCGTGGTTCGGCGCAGCAAGGGAATGTTGCATGAATATGGTATGGCGGGCAACATTGGATGACCAATTGAATAGCTTGCTTGAAACCGCATTTGCGATGAAATTCCATAGTTTCAATCTTAAGCTATGATGTGATTGTCCAATGAAGCCGTTTGTCGAGTCATGGTCACTAATACCAGGTATTCAACTAACGTTGAGTGGCTCTCGAATAATGCGCAAATCAGTGATATTAATATGCGTAAAACTACAAAATATGTCCATGCACCTCTCTATCCCCGGCAATGGCCTCTTTCTAGCTTTTCTGAATGGTGTCATGCCGTATAACTGACGCCTGATACGTCAACTTGTGTACTGGGAGAGCGTCCCACAATTTCCTCATCAACCTCACGACCAGCAGAACAGCTGAGCCTCCTCGCTCCTTCAACCAACCCACTCCCTGCGTGCCAGTCTCACATTTGTCATCTCCATTATCGTGGCATGGCCTCTGCGCATTCATCGGAGCTCAATAGCTGCGGCAATCTCACCCGCAGTAATCGGCTCTACGCTATGCCAAAATCCTGATTTCGCCCTCTGGCCAGAAGTTCTTTGTTCAATTCTTTGTTCAATTCTTTGTTCAACTTCCTTCCACCACAACGACCCAGTCGCACGACCGACAGCTGGCCACCCAGCAAAACCCCATCACGAACCCCATGGCTCCCTTGCCTCCCAACCGTGGCGATGCGGACGGCGACGAAGGTCAGCCAGAGTCGTCGTCACGCGCTTCGCTCTCTTCCGTTTCTACGACCAGCCTGGTATTCGACCGCCTCCAGGAAGAGGTCGAGAAAAAGCCCTCTGATCGCAAGACGAGCTATCGCGATACCGACAACAACTACAAGCCCTTCCGCGACGAGGACGAGGACGAAAGCAATGACCATGATCTAGAGAGTGGCCCCTTTCTTCCTCAGTCCGGCACTGGCGCTGGCGCCGGCGCCGGCATCGGCAAGGAGATCCCCATGGACCGCAGCCTCAAGCGCGTGCTCTTCATCACCTTTGCGGCTCTCGTCGCGTTCTGGTGCCTTGGCCTGGCCCTCTTTCTCTTCACTGGCGGCCATAGGCATGCCAGCGATAGCGAACACGACCCCAACGCTGACTCGCGAGGTTCTGGGAAATCTGTCACCCTAGCCCAAGTCCAGTCCGGATTTTGGTCTCCCCATTACGAATCGATTAGCTGGATCGCCAGCCCGGACGGCCAGGACGGCCTACTCCTCGAGGAGGGCACCAGCGACCTCGGTCACCTAGTTGTTGAAGATGTTCGCAACAGCCTTGATACACCCGATGCTGCTGCCAATGCCGTGAGCACCAAGGTTCTCATGAAGGAATCTTCCTTCAAGCATAGCGGCAACCAGCTCTATCCCACAAAGCTCATCCCGAGCCCGGATCTCAAGAGCGTTCTTATCGCTGTCCACCACAGAAAGAACTGGCGACACTCATTCACAGCCGAGTACTATGTCTTGGATGTTGAGACGCAGGCTGTAGAGCCTTTGGTTCCGTGGGAAGATGACGTCCGCGTTCAGCTCGCCACCTGGAGCCCCCAGAGCGACGCAATTGCCTTTACTCGCGATAATAACATGTTCATTCGCCACATCAGAGGCAGCAAGCAGATTGTTCAAATCACCAAAGACGGTGGCCCCGAGTACTTTTACGGCATTCCCGACTGGGTATACGAAGAGGAAGTCTTTAGCGGGAACAGCGCCACCTGGTGGTCTGCCAACGGCAAGTATCTCGCTTTCCTACGCACCAACGAGACTGGCGTGCCCGAATTTCCAATCCAGTACTTCAAATCACGACCCAGCGGTAACAAGCCCAGCGAAGGCGAAGAGTCATATCCCGACGTCGTCAAGATCAAGTACCCCAAAGCTGGCGCGCACAACCCCGTCGTCGACCTCCTCTTGTTTGACGTAGATGCAGGCGAGGTCTTCTCAGCTGAGGCCAAGGGCCAGTTTCCGCCCGAGAACCGCATCATCAACAACGTCCTCTGGGCCGGCGATCAGCTCCTCGTTAAGGAGACAAATCGAGTCAGCGACTTCCTCAAGGTCTTCCTGTTTGACGTTGCCAAACGCCAGGGTCAGATAGTCAACTCGGTCAACATCAAGGATATTGACGGTGGCTGGTTTGAAATTTCGCACACAATGGAGTACGTGCCCGCAGACTGGTCCAAGGGCCGCCGCCACGACGGCTACATTGACAGCGTCATCCACGAAGGCTACGAGCACATTGGCTACTTTACCCCCCTCAACAACAGCGAGCCTGTCCTCCTGACCTCGGGTGCGTGGGAGGTTGACGACGCACCTTCGGCCGTCGACCTTGACAACAACCTAGTGTACTTTATCGGGACCCGGGAATCGTCCATTCAGCGCCACGTCTACTCGGTCAAGCTCGACGGGTCCGACCTTAAGCCGTTCACTGACATCTCTGAGGAGGCCTACTACAGCGTCACCTTTTCCTCGGGCGCCGGCTACGCGCTCCTCTCCAACCGCGGGCCCAAGGTGCCCACCCAGCGCATCGTCGCCACCCCATCCAACCCGGACCCCTACCACCGCGTCCTGGAGGACAACGCCTTGCTGGCTGAGCACGCGCGCACGCACGCGCTCCCCGTGCTCAAATACGGCACCATCGACGTCGCCGACAACGTCTCCCTTAACTACGTCGAGCGCCGCCCGCCGCACTTTGACGCGCGCAAGACATACCCGGTGCTCTTCCAGCACTACTCTGGCCCCAACTCGCAGACCGTCACCAAGCGCTTCGCCGTCGACTTTCAGTCCTACGTCGCCTCGTCTCTCGGTTACGTCGTCGTCACAGTGGATCCGCGCGGCACCGGCTTCAAGGGCCGCGCACACCGCGTCGTCGTCCGCGACCAGCTCGGCGTCGTCGAGGCCGCTGACCACATTGCCGCCGCCCGCCACTTTGCCGCCCGGTCCTATGTCGACCGTACCCGCCTCGCTCTCTGGGGCTGGTCCTACGGCGGCTTCCAGACGCTCAAGACGCTTGAGGCTGACGCCGGCCGCACTTTTTCGTACGGCATGGCCGTTGCCCCCGTCACCGACTGGCGCTTCTACGACAGCATCTACACGGAGCGCTACATGCGCACCCCTCAGGAAAACCCCGACGGCTACGCCCGCTCCCGCGTCGCCAACGCCACCGCCCTCGGCCAGGCCACCCGCTTCCTCATCATGCACGGCTCCGGCGACGACAATGTCCACTTTCAAAACTCTCTCACTCTTCTAGATGACCTCGACCTCGCCGGCGTAGAAAATTACGACGTCCACGTCTTTCCCGACAGCGACCACGGCATCTACTTTCACAACGGCAACAAGATTGTCTATGATAGTATGTTTATTTGAACCCCAAACTAGGCCCCTTTGTGGACCGAGAATGCAGCACTGACTTGTGTGTGCGTAAAACAGAATTGAACAATTGGCTCATTAATGCCTTCAACGGGGAATGGCGCAAGACCGCTCATCCCACACCTAACCCTAACAAGCGGCGCTCCGAGGAGCGGTTGGTCTTGTAACGCTCAATGCCGTTTTTGCAATGATGATTATATATGGAGGAACTTGCGAAATTTGTGCTTTCCTCGTTTACTTTTGTTTTGGACACCATGCGGCAGCAGTCACGCGGCGAATACATAGCATGTTTTTTTTTTCAGATCGAAATTCAAATAGCAACATTAATTGAATAAACTATCATACACATACAACACTTGCAAGTTGGCCATTTTTGGGCCTGCAAGTCTCATGAATGCTTCCGCCTCATATCGGGTTTCCTTTTCATTCTTTCCATCTTCATTCGGAAATATCTCATCCCGCGCAAGCCGAGTGTATATGAGCATCAAGATCAAACGCAAAAAAGGGCCCGTTTCTCTCCATCTACTCTATCCGTCGGCTTAATTTGTCTGCCCTTGTCCCAACAACGTCTGCTTTCGTCGAGCGTACATTTCTCCTGAAATCTTCCCGGTTCTTCCACTCCTCCTGATCCAAGGGCCAAGAGACTTTGGAAACAACATTAGTATGGCCTTTGAGAGAAGCATTCATTCTGCGTCAATAATTCATCATGACGCCGCATCACAAGAATCATTGCTTGCAACGCTTAAAATCCGTAACCGGTGGGCTGAGGGGCGAAACCATTCGCCTGGCCATAGCCAGGAGCAGGCGAGGCGGCACTGCCGGGACCGGAAGTGATCATCAGGCGGCCAGCACCCAGGATGGGAGTGTTATCTTCCGTCTTTGTTTGTTCCTTTTCCTTGAGCTTGCGGGCCTCGTTGTCGGCCTTGAGCAGAGCAAGCTCCTTGGTCTGCTGGGCAAGAATGTTGATCATGTAGGGCATGGTGAAGTCGCTAAGACCATGGCGCCATGACAGCTCAAGAACAACATCGGGGCGGATGAGATCGTTGCAAGAGTACAACATGCCAGTGTAACATTCGCGGTGGCCAATGTCGACAAACTAGAGTACAATTAGTAATGGCTGGGCAGGGTGATCAGAGAAAATGCTTACGTAGCGAAGGAGATCTTCAACAATATCGGACTTGGCGGAAATAGCAGCGGTTTCAATGGCATCTTTGAACAGCTTGTCTTGCTTCGATAAGGCAATCGATTTCTCCCAGCGCTTGTTTTTGCGGTAGATATTGGCAGCAACTTGACGGAAGAAGATCAGGTCATGCTTCTCAAGACGGCTAGCTAGCTCAACGGCGTCGTAGTTGTCATAGTTTTGGACTGAGTCACGCAGCGTCTTATAGTCCTCCTCTTCGATGAGCAGATCGTTGACAGCCTCGTTGACAGTGCGCTTGTTCTGGCTCTGTACATTGAGCAGGAATGGTTTGATGAGGGGCAGACTATCATTCTTCTGGAACATCTTGACCACACGGTTGACATCAACACGGGTAGTCAGAGCAGCAAGTAGGTCCGTGAGCAATGAGGGGTGTTGTTCAACGTAGAACTTGATACCGCGGTAGTAGATTTCCAAGTTGGCTACCTTGACGATGATCTCTTTAAACTGCTGATGATCCCACGAGTTCTCCGGCCGCTCAATGACAGCAAGAGCAGCGTTGTCAAATTCGTCATAGTGGTAGTAGCAGAAAACCAGCTCGGGCCACAGGTTGGCTTCCTCGCACGCGCGGATCATTTTGGGCATGTTCATTCTGGACCAGAAGATCTTGATGTGTTCCATGAGTCGCTCGGGATGGTACTTGGATAGAGCAATGCCAAGCTCAGTGAACATACCCATGTGAGCGCGCTCAAGGCCAAGACCCTGCTCGAGAAGGCTGATAAGCTCATCAAAGTAGCCATTGTATTCGTAGTCCTTGACAAGTTCTAGCAGCTGCTCTGCGTCGACGATGAGGTTCAGACCGCAGATCTGAGCGAGACGGAACTCCTTCTTATTAACGCAAGCGCCATGAACCTGCTTCCAGACCTTGATGTTGTTGGCCTTGCGGGCGCAGTCAACGGCAGCCTGATAATCTTCAAGGTGGACGAGGGTGGTAGCGAGCTTGGCCCAGTTTGAGATGCTGCTAAAGAAAATCTTGGAGGCCTCGTAGAGTCCCTCATTGTAGGCCTTGTCTCCAGACTCCTCAATGTTGGCGACGTTGGTGGCGCGGAGGAAGTCCTCGAGCTCGGAGAGCTGGTCAAGTCGAGCGTAAGAGAAGGCAAGGGCGGTGTCAATGGTAGGCTCGCGAAGAGTCTTGCGAGACATGCGGAGGTAACGGACGAGGTCCTCGTTCTTGCCAGCATGGGTGGCAATCTCAATCACTTCGTTGTAGTTGGATGGGTCCTCCGCCTTGATGTAAGAATCAATACCATCAGTGACACGTAGGCCATCGAGCTGGGCCTTAGCAACCTTGCTCCAGACCTGAGGTAGGTCAACCTCCTCGGCATACGCTTGAGCGCGGTCGATGCTCACGACGTGATCGACAAGAACGTTGACAGCCTCGGATTTATTGTCAGCCTTCTTGTAGATTTCAAAAGCCTCTTCGTGCAGGCCGACGTCAATGCAGGACGTGGCGATCTCATCGGCGCTATAGCCGTCAAGCTTGTGAATGTAGTCCATGACACGGCCCTTGTCAGCCTTGGCAGCGGTAAACAAAAGAAGGTTTTGAAGGTTCTGGTTGTCGCTAAAGGGAGAAGGTTCAAGAACGATCTTCTCGAGTAGCTCAATGAGCTCGAGTGGCAGATCATTCTCAAGCAGCGCAGAAACAGCAACAGAAACCTTGGCAGGGTCGGTCGACTCAGGGACAGCCGTGGCGGTGACCTGGTCAACAACAGAGCGTCGGTGAATGTTGTTCTCGCTCAGGACAAAGTTCCACAGCTCGTTGTCGGAGCGCTCAAGCAGGTAACGAGCCTGAGCACGGTACATGGAGTTTTCATTGGTAATGTTGACGAGCTCGAGATCGTTCTGACCCTTGGAATAGGCAATATATGCGAGATTGGGATCACGCTTCTCACAGTATTTACCGACCGTGAGAGTGTCGTACTGGTCGTTCTCCTTGAGGAACTTCTCAGGGTTGTTGTTGGAGTCGATGTAGATCTTGGCGAGAGCGTTGAAAACAGCTTGCTGCTGGTTGCCAGCCTGAAGAGTGGCCTCGAGGAAAGGCAGGAGGAGTTTCAGGCGGTTACGAGACTCAACCTCGGCGACAAGCTCATCGATACTAATCTCCTGAGCATTGACAGTGCTGAGAAGCTGCTTGATGATGCTTTCCTCGCAGTCAACATCGAGGAGGCCACCGACAACGGCGGGGGTGCGCGAAGGGTTGACACGCTGGACGTAGGACTCGATAGCCTGGAACTGCTTGTTCTGGTAAAGGAACAGGATGAGGTCGTGGACAAAGTTGAATCGATCACAGACGATGATGAGAGGTAGCTGCTCTGGAAGCTTAGCCTCCTTGAGGAAGTTTTTCACCTTCTCGGGGTTGTAGCTGTTGCTATCCCGGCAGATGCGCTCAACTTCGTTAAACTGGCCCATCTTGGTAGCGGCCTCAATGTACTTGAAGTGCACATCGGGCTCCTCGGACAGGTTGACGATGCTCCCTAGGTAGTAGAAAAGACCCTCAGAGGTCTTGTACTTTTCAAAGAGATCGATGAGTCGGACAGGTCCAAGAAGCTCAGAGTACTTGGTGGCAATGTTGACGACAGACTGCAGGTTTTGACGGATGTTGGACTTCATCATCGCATCAAGGCAGTCTAGAGACTGTTCGACAGACAGCTTGCCAAAGAAACCAGAGAGCCACTCGGGGTTGAAGTTCGGGCTACCCGGAATGTTAACAACAACACGCTTGATGGCCTCGGGGTCTTCGTAGAGCTCCAAGGCTTTCTGAGGAAGACCAGCCTGTTCGCAAAGCTGGGCAATGCGACCCTTGTCAAAATGGGTGAACATGTCGTTGCCGAGGATAGCCTCGGCAACCTGAGGAGCGTGCATCAAATTCATCTCCAAAAGTCTGGTCTGAAGACGAGCATGCTCAGGTCTGTTGTCTTTGAGGGCATCAAGGAGGAATGCAGTAGCCTGTTGGACCATGCCCTGGGACTGGAATATGTCGCAGACGCGCTCGAAATCGACGAGAGGGCCCTGCTCGCTATTGGCGAGAGCCGTGGCGAACTCAGCACCTTTCTCGGGGTTGACACGAATAATATGCTGAAGCAACTGAATGTAGTCGGGCTTATAGCCGGTCTGGGCGGAGTATGGTAGGATTTTGTCGAACTGTCCGGTCTCGGCGAATCCAGCGACGACCTTTTGGGGCACATTGGCCTTGAGGTAAATGGTCAAGGCCATGTTTACGTCCAACGGACGAACCATGTCACCAAGTCGCTCGGAGCAGTCCAGCTTGTTTTCGCTAAGCCATTTCTCGAGAAGGTGCTTCCGGTTCTGCTGCAGGACGGGCTGCGCCAGCTCGATCGTCTCGTGCTCGTTGAGGGCACCTTTGTCGAGCAGCATGCCAAAATACTGGAGGGTGAAAGCCATCTGACCGGGTTGGGTAGGAAGACGTTTAAACTTTTCGATAGTCTCGGCGGTTCTGAGGAAGCCACGGGGGGAGTTGGCGGCAATCTTGGCAGCTTCCTGATAGTTTCCGGCGTTGAAGAGCTGGTCAAACTGTCTGGCGTAGAGGTTGTCGGCACCAGGCAGACCGGCTCGAGAGGCCAGCTTGATGGCAATCTCGGTATTGGCGGGATTGTCCAGAAGATAGGGGATAACGGTGGTCTCGTCGACGGTCACCGAGAGCACCTGGCCCTTGCGGTTGATACCCACTAGACCAGCCGAGACACTGTCGGCGCAGGTCGTGAAGATGGTTTCGCTCGAGATGCGGTTCATGAAGATCAGAGTGGCCGTCTCGAGATCGTAGAGATGGATAAAGCCATACTTGGTGACCATGTAGACCACGCCGTATTTTTGGGAGACTTGAAGTGCGACAGGGAAGTCGTTTGTGGCCTCGGGAGGGAAGAAGATGTCGACTGCCTTCTTCTGGAAGACGGGATTCGATTCGGCATGATCGACCTCGACAACATGGAGCTTGGCGCCGGTAGCCGTACGCACAGCAAAGCTGAAGAGCTTCGTGTCTTGAGGAGCGCCCTCAAGGCGAAGTGTGCCGAAGGAGGCGGCATGACCCTCGATGGCCTGGCTAATACCGCGATCCTTGGAGTAGAGCTGCATGGCGCCAACGACACGACCCTGCTGCTGGGAGATGCCAACGACTACCATCCACTTGCCGTCGCTGTTAACGCGGTAGTTGATGATCTGGCACCCATTGAGATTGGCATTGCGCTCAAAGACCTTGACGGGGCTCTCCTGGGTAGCATCGGCAATGTCCCAGTGGTATACGCTAGTGGTAGTGACGAGGCCGAGAGTGTTGTCGCCGACCCATCTCCAAAACTGGACATCCTCGTTCATTGTGCAAGACTTGAGCTTCTTCTTCTGCTCGAGGTCGAAGATCTGTAGCGTCCTCGACTGCGCCTTGAGGGCAATAATCTGCTTGCTCCAGTGCATGATGGCGCTGTCGGCCTTGATAGGTCGACGTGTGACGTTGTTGCCATGCTTGAGCTCTACAATGACGACTTCTGGTTGGGCTCCCTCGCTCTTTTGTTCTCGGATGCAAATGTACGAGTCGGATTCGAGAGTCTGCGAGGCGGGGTGCATGACCAATTAGCTTCGACGAGGTCGCTGGTATGATTGTGAGCAGAATTGCAAGACTTACGCAGGAGTTGAAGCCAATGGATTGCGCGTCAACGCCGACACTGCCGAGCTGGACGAGCTCCTGAAACTTGATGGGTAGGGGCGCCATGGCGCCAGCTGTGAATCTCTATGGGCTCGGGGAATCGGCGCAAAGACAGCTCGATGCTGTTGATAATAGCTGCGTAGATAACGGCTCGCAGCAAACGGGATATGGATTCGATGTCGTCGAAGGAGCGATAATTTGCTGCTCGATGACGTTCAGTTTGAAGCTTGTGGCCCAACGCCCATGCACGGAGTCGGTGCGGCGGAGTCGCAAGGGAGACTGGAGGAAAAAAAAAACACGCGGCAGAATTAGAAATGGGTGAAAAGAAAGAATGTCACGAGAGCGTGCTTCCGGAGTGAGGGGAATGGACGGAAGAATCGTCGCGCGTTTGCATAGGATGAGGGTTGTTTGGTGAGGTAAAGGAGAAACGCAGTACTGGGCTTACTTGTCACTTGCGTGTCCTCCCAAGCTGGGGAAGTTGCAGGCAGGATGTGGACGAGGTACGTACCTACCCGGTTTTCCTTGCCTTCGTTACCTGAGCTCCAGGCAGGCGAGTGTGCAGCGACGCACCAAAACGCAGAGCAAACGCACCAGTTGGCCGGGCTATCGCTAGCGTCATTGGCTCAGGTACCACTGAGTGGACACCGCCCCAGTCTAATTGGAAACGGTTGGATCAACAATGTTCCGCTCCAGCAAGGCTTTTGGTTGGCTGGCACGTGCGTTTGTTGCCAGCATTGCAGTCAGTGCTAGTTGCCCTGCTGCTTGGTGATGGCTTCACCAAATCATCATTCAGGCATCTGTTTGTTTCAATCTTTTCCCCTCTTCCAATCGCGCGTTATTTTCACTGCATTTCTTATATCGCCCACGAATAACTAGTCAGCCTTGCTATTTTGCACCGCTTGGTAGATCCAACACTACATTCCTCACCGCGGCTACTGCCAACTTGGACTGGTACCTAGCCACACTAAATGTTTGCCCGCACAGAATTCCCCGACTCTTCTTGAAAAGTCGTTTTTCAAAGCTTTTCGATACTGCCACCGACATCCAGGTGTCGGTTGGTTTTCTTTACGCCATCCTTTCCACCCCTCCGTCTCTTTCCTGTGTCTTAGGACCAGGAGTAGTCCCCCCCCCCTCTCCTCTCTTTCCTGTGTCTTGGTACCAGGATTTTACCGCAGAGATGCAAACCAATCTACTTTCCACACTGGGCATGCCAATGTACTGCGAGACGCGGCGAGAGCCTGCTAACCTTGGCCTGAGGGCATGGCTGCTTTAGACAAATAGAGCTTAGATTAATCACTGTTTGTACCGAAAAGCATAAATAGATCAATGCTGCCTGTTCTGCAGACATATCACCTGGGCGCCGCCAAAAGGCTTTTTTTTCGTTACTTTTATGGACTGGTGGCTTATACCTACGAGGCTTATCTGGTGTCGCTGTTTTGGTGGCAGCTGACTTCACGAAGGATTCCCAAACCACAATTCAATCTTCTTTAACTAGATACCACTTTGCAAAAAGACTTCCTAATGTGCCGCCATAGTCTCTTCCAGAGGCGCATGCTAGTATCGTCCGTGGCATCACGGCGCTTCTTGGGCGTGTACATGTTACTTGATTCCAAACAGAAGGCGCTGCACGCCAGTCTCCTACTTTCTGCGTGGCGCAATGTATCTCTGCTTGGGGAAGTCGAGCGGCAGGACCAATCGGGCAATCGTCGTCGGGCCCTGGCCCTTCTTGGACGTGGGCTTGATGCGAGCACCAATCTCGCGAAAGTACTGGTTCATGGCCTTATCGTCGGTGCGCAAGTCGTAACGCAGGTCCTGTGTGTCCACCTCGAAGTTGTCCGCAATGCACGCAAAGGCGCAAAGGTGCGTGATGAGCAGGTCAACATGGAACTTGCGCATCTCACCGGCGTCGGAAAACTTGCGGCGGATATTCTCAATGACGGCCTCGGGCGCCGGGGCGAGCGCCTCGCGCAGCTTGTCGCGCGGCGGGACGGAGCGCGTGCCCTTTTGCCGGCCGGGCTTGGTGTTGAGATAGAAGCAGACGACAAACGACATGTAGCGCAGCACACGCAGGCGTATCTCGGCCGCATCGTTGCTCGCAATCGCGTTGACGCGGGTGGCGACGAACTTGGACACGGTCTGAACGCCTTCCTTGTGGCGCACCTGTTCCTGCCACTCGCGGATGGGCAGCATGTTGAGGATGTCGGTGCCGATAATCACGCTGGGATCGTAGGCGTCCTGGATGTCCTCGGCGTCAACGTTGACGGGCGGTAGGGGCTTAGCCTCGGAAACGACGGCTTGTAGCTGCTCGCGTGTAGCCATATCGGCCGCCACCTTGCCCACGGAATCAAGCATAGCACGGGACGCGTCGTCCATCTTGGCCACCATGTCGCCATCCTTCTTCTGTGGTGAGATTGCGTTGAGTACGCGCTCGTTGATGACCTTTCTGGCCTTTTTCGTGCCGAATGTCTGACCGAGATCCGTCTTGAGGTCCATCATGCTCTGCTTGGCGCCCTTTTCCTCCAAGGCGTCGGCGGGAGCCTGCTTCGCACGTACCGAAGCCCGCATCACCATCTTCTTGGCCTCAATCAGCTCCATCTCGCCAGTCTTTGGGTCGTAGATGCCGAGAAAGTGGTGCAGTAGTGGTTTCGAATCAGGCTTAGGGTCCTCCTCGTGGACAGCGTAGTCAATGGTGGGATGCGACGTCGAGTGCAGCATCATTTTCTTCTCAACTGCGGTCTTGGGCTGTTTCCTCTTGGCGTTGGCTTTCGATTCGTATATGTCAAATACCAGGTCATTGCGGCTTTCGAATCCGGGGGTCGTAACTTTTGAATGTCAGCGTCTGACGCCTGTCTGCCAACTTCCGAGGTGCGTTCAGATGCCATCATACCAATTACTGGGGGGGAGAACTCGGGTTGGATCAGTTTCGTCACTCTGACGGTCGCAGGAGGAGCATCTATAACAACTCTTTTGGTCGGCTTTTCGGACGAGTCCGCTGCCCTCTTGCGTTTCTTGCCGTACGTTTGGACCATGGCGACAGGTTTATTGAAGCTTGGTACTGGCCTGGCGATGGCTCCCAATTTTTTTCTGGATCTGCCCGGCAGAAAAGTCCAGGACCCAAAAGTCTGCCGGGCGGTGAGGTACCCCACCAGAGCTGAGCCACCCCACTAAATCAGCACCGCAATTGTAAAGCAGGGTCCTACATACAGATGGCTGGAACAAAATTACGTGAGGCTGCCAAAGCAAAGGCTGTTCCAAGCTTCCAAATGGGCTATCCCACCGTATTTAGAGATTCAAGTTACCGTCACGGTTTACTAGTTGCGCACAGCACGGGGACATGAGGTCACCAAATAACTAGTCACGAGAGCAATTGCATGGTTGTAGAGCAAATCTGATAGTATTGTCGAGCAACGCGGGGCGTTCATAGCGTGCGGTAATGGCAGCTTGCTCATTTCTCGAGGTGATCTCAAAACGCCGACTGGTACCCGACCGTTATTTTGTCAATTACCCATCCGTCGCACCATTGGGCGAAACTCCGAGGCTACTTGTAATGCCATTGCGCCATTCCCCATGTGAAATCCTCGATTAAAAAGACTCCTCGCGGAGATTCGTGGTCGTAGCAGAAACAATTCCTGAACCGTCGTAACATGTGCCCATGGGAGCGTGTCGTAAACTCATGAAAGATGCGTCAAGCCAGGTAGAAGTGCGAGTTGTTTATTTCCTATGAAGCAGTTAGCATCATGCTCAATCTCGTTCGACAATGGTTCCAAGAACTTACGATCTAGCCCTCATCTTTCTTCTCTTGCGCTTGAGGCGCCTGACGCGCTTCTTTCTCCATTTGGCTCTCATCTTGAACCTGGAAGATGTTAGTATTGGTTCCAGTTTCTGGCTCTGGTCGCAACAAATAGATGCATTGCACGGATAGCCATTGCCAATTGACTATCTAATGCAAGCTTCCACCTGTCGTCGCCCCGGATTGATCAAACTTACTTGGTCCTGGATGAGAATCGTTGTTGGATAAGGAACAACTCAGAAGGAGGGGGGCGAAATTCTGGGCGATTAAGCTACTTCAGTAGGGCAAGTAACCCCCAAGCATCACGTGTGACTGCTCGCCTGTTTTGGGCTACTCCCGTAGACGCTCATTGGCTGATCGTGCTGTCATGATGATGGTCAGGACTCCACTCACACCAACGCTATCGCTATCGCCACCACGAAGCGAGAGTTGAGAGCTTGTGTGCCAGCCGGCGTTTCGCAGCTGGCAGTTGGCAGCTATTAGCGGTTGGCAGCTGGCGGATGGTTGGCAGCTGGCGGATGGTTGGCAGCTGGCGGATGGTTGGCAGCTGGCGGCCGGCTCCCAACTTCCAAAGCACTCCGTTTGCTGTTGTCGTTGTGACTGTTGATGTAATGAAATCCTGAAATTTCCGCAATGCCATTTCTGTGTTGTTGAAAACCTTTCTACGTGAAGACGATTCAATATTGCTGAACACTCTACTGTGCCGACTTATACGCCGATTGACTTACATGAGGAGACGAAATGCAGCTTGTAGATCGAGACGACACCAGAGCTTTGGCATTTCCCTCCAGGCAAATAGCAGGATGGCTGTACCACACAGATTCTCGAAATGAACCTCACATTAATCGTCAGTCACCTCCGGTTCAGGAGCTGCAACAGAGGGCTTGCCTCAGGTGGATCTCGCTTACTGGGGCACAGAAGAAATTGCGCTGAGCGACAAAACGATTCTGAAGATTGGGCGAGACGAGCGCGCAAAGTGAGCTCCTGATGCAGGCTCCTGATACTTACTGATCTTTGTAGTTCATTTTCGATTGGTCGAGACGCGGAAAACTATGTATCGAGAAAACACTGCGAAGTCTATGTCGTCCTTTATGAGCTCGGTATAAGTCATGTCTACGTTCGAGATCGCAAGTCCTGCAACGGCACGTACGTGAACGGTCTCTGTATCGGTGATTCTAGTCAAACGTCATCTGGTTACCTCTTGGCCGACGGCGACGTAGTTGAAATCCGACCTTTTTGGCAGTTCCTGTTCAAGCAAAAGACGCTTGCACCGGAAGAGCCCCTCAACAAGCTACAAATGCAAGAGTCCCAGGTGCGCGTATTCCTTCGATGGCTGCCGAGGGGGATATTGCTGATTTTCAAAGCTCTTTGAAGGAAAATACACAATCCTATCGCGTGTGCTAGGCGCTGGAAGCCAAGGGTCGGTCCACCTCGCCGTAAATACAACCTCCAAGAAGCAGCTCGTCTGCAAGATCATAAATATGAAGCAAGCAGGCGTCCGCGGACAACAGCCGTCTCCCCAAAAAATTCTACAGGAATCAGATACACTGCGCCAGCTCAAACATGTGGGTTGTTAGTGTTTCCCCTCGCTGCCACTAACCAACCGTACGACAGCCAAACATCCTGACCTACGTAGACACACTCTGGTCTCCGCATACCCTGTAAGAGCCAGCAACCCACGATGGCGACGATTCATTGACGTTCCAGATACATTTTTACGGAGCTGGCCTCTGGGGGTGACTTGCTCTCGTACATTAATCAACATGACGTGATTCCAGAATTCGACACGCGCATTGTCGTGAGGCAAATAGCCCGAGCGCTGCATTGGTTACATGACCGCAACATCGTTCACCGAGATCTCAAGCCAGAAAACGTACTTTTGGCGTGCTCGCCGAGAATCGCGTACCAACGAGTTATGCTATCTGACTTTGGTTCTTGTGCGCTACCTCTAAGCAACAAGCTCAAGACGAATGTGGGAACGCAAAACTTCCAAGCACCGTAAGCCAACGCCATCCAAACCAAGACGAACGCTGACCTTGGCCAACGCAGCGAGGTCCTGCGAGGCGAGAAGCAAACCAACGCTGCCGACATTTGGCCACTCGGTGTAATTTCTATGCTTCTTGTTACCGGCTGTGGACTCGCCGGGATTGATGGTTTGGCGCGGCTGGACCAGATGGCTCTTGAAAATGTACTGCACGACGTGCTCGCCAACTGCAAGGAAGCCTCCGCCAGCGCCAAAAGCTTCATCTTGCAATGCATGAAGATTAGAGCGAGCGACAGAATCACCTCGGCCGGCGCCGGATGCCATGATTGGTTCCATACACCCAGCAGCCACCTCGCATTCTTCCAAGCGCTCGATGCCCGGACGGCCGCCTTGTAGGATGAGGAGAGTGAGCGGCCGCTGCCGACGCAGCTGCCGGATGTTCGGGAGAAGAGCCAACCACAACGCCTATCCAGCACTGTCAACTATCAGAGGGTGGCAATTGAACCATACGCACAGGCTGACAAGATTGGGCAAGACGCAGCGGTCATGTCCAAGGACAGCAGGCAGCGCGTAGTCAAGGTCCGCCGCCTGGCCCAACATACGCTTACACGCACTGACAAGCCAACAACGAACCTCGCCCGAGATGGGCGCGTCAAAGTTCTGGAAGAGCTAAAGAGTACAAAAAGAAAGTTTTTAAAGAGCTGATCTGATAATATAGTGGATCAAAGCGGAACGATTGCTTACACGACGCGTGTGTTTCTCGACAGTATATACCGTAGATATATTTGACTTATACATACCCCAATCTAAGCACATTGCTTGCTCTCTCATCTCCATCTTTTTGGGCAAATACAAGCGGAACCAAAGGCGAATGTGTCCCATCTTGCGCGCCGTCTTCGATGAGTGGCTTCAGAAGCCCCTTGACCTCCTCCAGCTGCTCCCTTGCCTCTTCATGCTCGTCCAGCTTTTGCACATCCTCCAGCGCGATCCTCCTCTCCACCTCGGTCAGCGGGCGGCATCGCTCCCTCTCCACAGCCGCCTCAATCGTCGACGCCTCCCCCCCGCCGCGCTCCCACCCATACGCGACCAGATTTCCCCTGCGCAGCACCACGACCTGGTCCGCCTTGGCGCCGTCCTCATCCAGCCACGCCGCCGCACGCAGCAAGCCCGCGTACGCGTCCTCGTGCACCTTGGTCGGGGTCAGGCGCACCGGGAGGCCGCGCGAGTGAGCCTCGGGCGCCCTGCTGTAGAAGCGGGCGAGGATGCCCAGACGCGACAGCGCCGCGGGCACGGCCATGACGACGACCTCGACGCGGTAGCCGGCCGCGCGGAACAGCGCGGCGAGCTCGGCAAAGTCGTCGGGGTGGCGGCACGCGCTCTCGAGCACCACGTCGACGCGGCGCGCGGTGGCCTCGCGCGCGGCCTGCGCCAGCCACCGGCGCGCGTCCGGGCCGGTCGCGGCGGAGGCGTGCTGCGGCGCCGTCTGCATCAGCCGCGCGTAGGAGGGGTGGTACGTCTTGTACGTGTCGGCGATCAAGTGCGTGGGGGCGGGGGCTACGGCGGATAGGGCTTGGAGGAGGGCGGGCGCGAGACGCGTCTTGCCGGCGCCGGTCTGGCCCACGGCGAGCACGGCCAGGGGTTGGCCGCGCGTGGAGGGGGACGGGGCGCCGCCGGACACGGGGAACTCGGCGGGCAGGATTTCCTCGAGGAAGATGCGCTGGGAGTCGGCATCGCTGAGGCGATAGGAGGACAGATCTGGCGGTGGAGGCATGCTGGATTTTTTGGATTTTTTTGGCGATTGTATGATGAAATAGATGGGTAAGTTGCTGGCGTAGTGATGGAATGGCGATGGGGGATGATGTAAGTGGGGTTTACATGGTGCTGATCGAGGCTGCAGTACAGATTACAGCGGACATTCTAGTTATTGCTTTGTCGCAGTATCAAACAGTCGCTTTCCTTTCTACGGTAGTCTTGATTCTCGATTCGGTCAAAGTCGCATCAGTTTGATACATTCTGTCGTGTAGCGAGATGCGACAGACAGCTAGAATCGGACTGGTTTACAAGGCGCGCATCGCTTGCTTCGCGGCAACACTTATCAAATTAGGTAGTTTTGGAGTGCAAATTAGCGTCCGAATATAGGGCTGAGAATGAACATACGGCCAGATTAATCCACCGCGACAACCTACCACATTACTCCCTAGTACCAGCCAAGTTTAGTGCCAGATCCAACAGATATTAATCACAGATGAGGTATATGTTTCTGTAGACTCGCCATCATGTCCCCTACTCTCTATATTATTGTATTTTCGTCAGATGCTGTACTGTCGGTAGAGCTCGAGTCGCCGTTGGCACTATTGAAGTTGGACTTGTAGGCAGGCACATGACAGCTGAATAAGAATACGTAGGGTTACATGGGTGCATCTTGCTTCCGTAAAAGAAATTGTTTTGTTTACAACCCCGCCAATTCCGAGCCCTCTGTTCAAAAATCAGCTCTCAACTTGACACAGCCATCCGTCCCTTCTCGCTGCCTCGTGAACAACCCAGCTATAGCTCCAAGTGACGCATCTGGTAACGACACTCCATATTGCTTGACTAGAATGGCCGAGTCTACAGCCGGCGCCGAGATCAAACTTGCTCGCCAAAAGAAATGGGCTACCAAGGTCCGGAGTGGTTGCCTGACATGCCGGTACGGTCCTTCCCCGCTCTAGTTATTCTCGCTACGGTGAGATGTTTGTCGCGTGAATCCCATGACTTTCCCCTCGTCACCGTATTCCCTTCTACTACAGTTCATGGCTACATACTAGACTAACAAAGTATTCAATGCAGTGCTCGGCGCGTCAAATGTGATGAGACGAGACCGGCATGCCAGCAGTGCATCCGCAGCAAGAAGCAATGCAAGGGCTATACTGTCGCACCGGCCCTTCACAGCGTCGTCAACCTGGTGAGTGCTACCGACACGGTCGCAAGCCGCCGGCAGCCGTCGAGCGTGCGATGGGACGACTGCGACCTGGCCATCAACTGGGAGGCGGAACCACCCGAATGGGACTATATGCAGTCGATCCGGTATTGTACGTTTCTATCCCAACAAGGGCCACTGTCGTACCTGACACCCCAACTCTGACGGTTTCCTTGCTCTTTCTGGGCGGAATGTAGACCTTGAAACCCGGAGCCCAGATGACGGCAGCGAGTTCAGCGTCTGTACCGCTCCGCCCTTCAACCGCAGCGACTGGATCCACGAGACCTTTGTCTGCATGATGGTCTGCGAGCAGATCGAAAAGCTGACCAAGAACCGACTGACGCGCCTGAAGCCGGCCGAGGACTTTACGCTCCGGGGCCTCTGGACCGTCTACTATCGCAGCGTGCTCAAACACATCAAGGTGCTCAACATGTGTCTGCGCGACGAGGGCCACTGGGGCGGTAAGAATCGTGTCTTTTACTGCATCGCGCGTCTGATGTACTTTGACCTGAAGGTGAGCGATTTGACCTGCCAATCGCACATTAACGGGTACTTTGCGTACGTGCAGAAGAGGGGTGGCGTCCGGAGCGTGCTCAGTCTTCCTCTGCCCCCCGTTCACAGCTTTCAAGCTGTTTTGACGTACGTTTCGTGCCCCCCCTCCCTCCCATTTCACATTCCTGGATGTAGCAGCTTGATCCAGGGCTCACGCAGTTTAATGCTGACTCACTTCCGGCTGGGTTTCAGAGTCGGCGCTGCTGCCAACACTACCAGTCCCCCTGACCAGCAGATCGCCGGACCCAACCAGCTCAGTGATGACGAAATTAGACTGGTATACGATTGGGCATTTCTGGGCGCCTTTCCGTGCCCAAACGAATTGTTTGTTCACATGATCCAATTGACTCGGCTGCGTGTGCAAGTCTCTTCCGGACAAATCACGGGCGTCGCGTTGGCGGCCAAGGTCGACGAGTTGTTTCGCCAAATTAGCACAGTCAACCTCGACGCTTGGATCCGCGACGCGAGCGCCAGGAGTAACAATGCGTCCGACGGTGCAGCAGCATTCCGGGCCGCCACGCTGCTGTACGGAATCCTGTCGCTTCCGAGCCGCGCCGTGGCCGCCTGGGCCGCTGCCGCGTGGCATCATGGCTCTGGGGGCCTGGGAGCATACGAGAGCGTGCGGTCCGCGCAGCAGCAGGCGCTCCTGGATGTGCTGCGCCGGATGGCGCCCAAGGTCAAGTGCCGGTGCTGCATCAGCTGGCCGCTGCTGGTGGCCGGCGTGGCGGCGGCGGACGGCGCCGTGGACGGCGCCCGGGACTTTGTGGAGGAGAGCCTGCTCGGCATCGCCGCGGAGCCCGAAGGCCCCATGTTTGCGCTGCCGAGCCTGCAAAAGTTTCGGGAACTCTGGAGTTCGGGAAAGACTGGATGGGATGATTGCTTCACGGAGCCTTTTATCGCGATTCAATAGAGGGGTTGGTATATGGATTGACTGATGTTGACATTCCGTAGTCGTTGTGTTTGATAGTCTGAAAGAAAATGGAAAGCACGATACTGCTCTTGCTCAAAGTGTCTCTTACTTGGCCGGCTATTAGAAAGAAAGGTCGATGTACACATTAATACGTATCTTACTTACATCTAACATCGGCCTAGATCTAACAAGATCTCTATGTCACTTACAACGCAAGACACGCTTTGCGCAGATGCTTCCGTCTACAGGCCGGAACCCTATTTCCTATTATCCTCCTCGTCCTACTCATCCTCCTCCTCATCCTCTTCGTCCTTCATCGGCAGCGCAAACCTCTCCACCTCGACCTCTTCCACCCGCGATCCCACCACATCCATCACCACAACCGCTCTCCTCCCCCGTTTCCCGCTGCCCTCCTCCTTCTTCTCCTCTTCACACGACTCGCCCGTCCGCCTACATCTCTCACACACCAGCTGCGGCTCGTCCCCCGCCGCCCGCCCCATCATCATGCGCGAGCACCTCGCCAAGCCCGCACGCTCGCACGCCGCGCACCGGGGCAACCCCGAGGCCCTGCACCGCGCCTCCAGCCGTCTCGGGACCGTCGGCGGGCCGAGCACGTGCCGCACCGGCATGCCCTCGACGTAGCGCGGCGTCGTGGCCGCGACGCCCTCGGCATGGCGCGCCCACAGCGCGCGCGCCTCCGCGTTCAGCTGCTTAACCGTGGTCGCCACCGCCTCGTCGTCGTCTTCTTCGCTGTCGCTCTCGGGCACGTCTGCCGCAGGGTCCCACCACTCGTCGAACAGCGCCCAGCACTCGTCCTCGGCTTGCTGCCGGGTCGACTGCCGCCGCCGGTCGCGCCGCTCGG